TAAGTATACTCGTACACTGGAGCACCTTAGCTTTCATCTTTATTCAAAACATCTTCAGAGGCAACTGAATTTACAGGGATGGAATGTCAGGTCACCTTTCTTGGGTGGGGGATTAGTGGGTCTCATGGCCTGAAGATGTCTTGAATAAATAAGAAAGCTAAAAGTTATTTTGTGTAAGATTATGATAAGTATAAGCATAAATGAGCAGAGTTGTATCCCTGCAACATTACATTACATAACATTTTAAAATATGGAGTGAAAAAGAAGAAATGTGTGAGTGATTAGAGATGCATGTTGTCTTAATTCCCATGTGTGTGTGTGTGTGTGTGTGTAATACACCTCAACATTACATACACACACCCCCAACACACCCTCCAACATTTATTATTATATATTCTTGTATGATCAACTTCTTATGGTGTATGTTTTATTATTGATAATATAAAATAATACATACAGTGAACCCTCTCTTTACGCGGTCAATTGAACCCACGGCGGCCCGCGTACAGCGAGAAACGCGTAAAGTGAACAACATAACATATGGGATTAATTGAAATAGAGACCGGGCCGACCCCCAAACTCCACTTTTTCCAGACACAATACGTATGTTTTAGTAAAAATAACATCTTAACTTTATGATGGTATGCACACACACACATAATATAGAAGGGAACAATCAATAAGAGAATAATATACTGTAGGTTAGGTTAGAAAAAAACAAGGTTAGGGTTAACACTTTCGTTAGTAGAAGAGATGGGTCGGCGTACGGGAATAGAGGCTGGTTCTGAGGCAGAGGGCAGGCTACTGGCCCTCAGGTGAGTCTTCATCACTGTCATCCATACTTATTAGTGCCTCCCTGACAAATCCCTCAAAGTCACCATTACTGTCTCTGTCTCTATCACTGGCTTGGGCTGGCCGTGGTGGGTTGCGGGCGAAGAACTCGGTAATGCTTTGCTGACGGCTGGTGTTGATGTTGTCGTGATACACCTTGATGTAGGGCTCCATAGTCTGCAACAGCTGGGTAGTGAAGACTTCATACCGGTTATCGTCAGGGTCGTCGGAAAGGAGGAATTTGAGTTTCTCAACACACTCGATGGCACCCCTTACATTACTATGCGATAACTTGCGTTCTTCTTGGGATGACGCACAACCTGCCTCTTCACTGACGTCATCATCATCTAACATCTCGTTGGCAGTCACATCAGGATCCCTTATCACCTCCAGGATGTCGTCGTTGGTGGTCTCGGAGAAGCATGCAGCTGTAACACTCTGTGCAGCTTCTCTGGCAAGGTCCACTGCTACTGCAACAGTCTGAACCTCACCAGTCACACATTGACTCTGCCTCCCACTTGGAATACCTTGCAACACGTCTCCATGCGTGACGAACCGTTGCTACAGACAGCTGATCCCATGCCTCCACCAAGAAGTCCACAGCTTTCTTGACGTCAATTTTCTCCAAAAATGTTTCACAAGTACTTCTTGCTCTGCCAACTGTTGTTCCTCATCGTCTTCGCTCTTGCTATCGGTGTCACCCAGGTTATGCAACTCATCCTTGGTGTTGGTGTAGTCGCTCATGAGCTTAAATTTCCTTGCAGAGAATGCAGCTTTCACATTACAGATCAATTCTTGGCCCATGGGCTGTATTAATGACGTAGTGTTGGGAGGAAGGAAGACCACTTTTACGTTGGGGTGACGATCTAACAGCAGGGGCGAGTGTCCTGGTGCGTTGTCAAGCAGCAACAAAATCTTGAATGGAACATTCTGTTGCTCACAGAATTTCTTCATGTCAGGAACGAAACAGTCATCAAAACAGGAGACGGACAGAGTAGAGAACATTCACGCCTTATGTGCGGTCAGCCAGTGGACATTTAACTTGGTCATGTCCATGCTCTTGTAGGCGTGCGGCTTGCGTGCTGTGTGGATCACCGATAACTTGAGCTTTCAGGTACCGGAAGCATTGGTGATAAACAGGACGGTGATGCGCTCCTTCTGCATCTTCCGGCCCCGACACTTGCTGGCATTCTTCACAACGAAGGTCTTGGAAGGTAGCTTTTTCCAAAAAAAGACCAGATTCGTCCATGTTAAACACCTGGTCGTCGGTGTACTGTCCTTCCTCCATAATCTCACGTAAAAACGGAGGAAAATCCCTAGCCGCAACACGGTCAGCACTAGCTTCTTCACCACCAATGTTAATGTTGGTGATCTTGTTCCTCTTCTTAAATCTCTGCAACCACCCAGAGGAAGCATTGAAGGGTTTGGGCTCTGCAATTCCCATCTTACGTGACACTGCAGCATACAGTTCACATGTGTACTCCTTAACTGAGCGTGTGCCCACCGCCATGTTCCGTCGCGCCTGACGAATCAAGTAGCTCACAAGTAATTTCTCCGTCTTGAGAAGCACCTGGCTGTGGCAATACTTGGTCATAGGAGCACCTGTAGACTTTGTGATGTTCATGTGCTCCTTTATCTTGGCTGCATCCTTCTTAATTGTCCAGGTCGTAGATTCGTTAACACCATGCTTGTTCCTTTCTCCAACTCTTGGATGATCTTGTATTTAATTTCGTAGCTTAGGGAACGTCGTATCTTCTTTGGCTTAGGGCGGCTGGGTCCAGGTAATGCAAGGTTTCTTTGTGGTGGTGGTGGTTGTGGTCCGGTGGAAGCCATTCTTATGGAACAATAGATACCGATATGTACGGTGTAGCCTAAAGGGGTGTAACTGACGCGGGTAGGTCAAGGGGCTTGAACGCTCCCGCGGCGGGGCACGTCATAGTACATTAAATCAATCACAGCTAGCGGGGGAGGGAGGTAAGGATGCTTGGCCCAATCACAGTCCGATACGTCATATGACATCACCAATAACGCAACAAAGACATACACTGTGCAACTTACTTGCGCCGCTTACCCAACATGGCTGGATGGCGGGAGGTTTGAATCCAAAAATGGCGCGGCGCGAGAGGACCGCCTGCCGCTCTCTGAGTAAAAGAGTACGCGCACCGCGTAAAGTGAGCATTCCGTGTTCGGCAGGGTACCGCGTAAACGTGGAAACGCGTAAAAAAAATCCACATAAAGCGGGGTAATACTGTACTGTACTATAGAAAAAATGCAACATAAAATCAGTAATTTGCATAAAAATTAAGGGATAAGCCAAATAATAAGGTACAAATAAGTATTGTACTGTAAATGAAGGGTACTGGTATTAATAAACTCAAATTATTATCTTTACTAATTAATAAATAACACAGTAAACAATATTTTTTCAGAGTTACAGTAGAATGACAAAGGCAGGTGTGGGGTAGGAGGGGGGGGGTGACCAGTCAGTTTCTCACACTAAAGGTCTCCATCCCTCCTCCACCACCAGTCTTTGTACAGAACTTAGCAAATAATTTATTTGAAATATACTCTGTAACATTCGATGCCATAATATCCTTACCATTGGGGGCTAGTTATACAGACTTTTCTCTGTGAAAAAGACATAATTTTGAGCAACATATTATTGTACTCACTTTGTACTCAAATGTACTAAGCTAAAGGGCTAAACTTTTTATCTCTTGTGCAAACTATGAAGTGGGTACACTCAAATTAAAGATTCCAGCAATATAAGTTACATTCTGATAAGTCAAGTCAGTGACATTTTATAAGAAAAACTTTAAGCCTAAAATCATTTTCATCCCATTAATAGTTATCACCCACAGCCATATGCCTACCCTGCTAGCTGGGAAGAGGGGGGAGGGGGAGGTGGGGTGTTGACAACCAAGAGCTGGGTGCGTAGTTATCAGTGCAGGGGTCAAAAGGGACTCGGGATTATAAAATAGAGGGAATTTAAGTTTTTTGCTTATAAAATGCCACCGACTTGACTTAGCAGAATATAATTTGCATTGATAGAATTCTTGCAAGATGATGATTAATTTGAGTATAAACATCCCTAGTTTGTACTAGATATAAATTTCTGGAGTAAAAGCTTAGTACAATTGAGTACAGGCTGTGATAATTTATACGTTGTGGTTGCAGTTGCGAAGCTTCGTGACATCACTGTGTAAAATGCGTCTCCATATGCCCTGGTTTATTCAGTAATCAGTTGTCTAAGTCCAAAAGTAGCCAAATCAACCCATCAAGCATCAATTAATTTTAAAACCGAAATTATAAAGTCAAATGTTATAAGACAATAGTTTAGTAGTGCTGTTAATATGTGTGTGCTATTTAAGTTTCTTGGCATGTCATCTCACTCTTCCCACCCACGCACAAACCATGTGAGGATGTGGCTAAACATGGTGCAATCTTTCATAACGCTGGGAACCTTTGTCCCCAGGCCCGGAGCAGAAGGTTTGGAACCATTTTCTCAGATTTTCCGTTATTTGCTTTATATCATTATTTATCGTTTTTATACATTTAGTAAATTCACCGTAGGCTGAAGTAGGTTTTACTGTATCATGTGTCTGAGGTGTGGGCGTATTAACGGAATTAATCTCAATTTAACGAACTAGTTCACTAAATTGAGCGAAAAAAAAATGCTTTCTGCTAAATTGAGAGATTGAGAGTTTGTTATATTGGATTCCATTAAATCGAAAGTATACTGTAAACATCCAAATCTAAATGCATCTTAAATGAATCATATTCACCAAGGTAGTGGGTCATCTTGCACTAAGATGTAATACAAGTTGGTCTTTGATTATGTTCTCAGCTGAAGCATACAAAGCTAACTGATTATTATCTTTTTGTTCTTACTTGACATTCAGTAATCCTTTGTCACTTGCAACTATTTCAAGTACTTCACAATAGGAGAAATAAATGTTCCCTTATGAAGCTATCATGATTCAAGCAATCTTGATGCAAAATTCATGACCTCTCAGGTTTTTACTGCATGTGGTTTGGAGAAGAAACCAACCAACATATGATTACGGAGAGAAATCATCATTCACCTCTCTAAACACAATCCCAAATAGGCCAACAAACATAAATCCAAACATTAATCTTAAAAGTAAACTATGTTTTAATATTCTTACCTCAAGCTGTCCCCTGCGCTCAGCTACTACTCTCTCTGTGAAGTTGCCAAATAGTCGTCGAGGGGGAAAGTACAGCTCTTCAATCTATTGAAAATAATAACTAAAATTGTATTTGGTGTGATTCATATATACGAGTAATATTATTTTTTATATAAAAATCTGGCATTAATTTTGATCCATCCAAAAAATTCTGAATATCCAAACAGATGATCCTGAAAGCCCACTTTATGATGGGAGCCTGATGCCAGGAAGCTCCAATAATAAGTACACCATGCCTTCTTACTTGTTCCAGAGTGACCTGGCATTGGGGCTGGGCAACTGAATTGGGGTGCAACTAACTGTATACACAAAGGTATAACTTTGGCAATGAAGCCTCTTTATCATGAAGTTCAATTCTACCATTCTGTTTTTTATTAAAATTAAGAAAAATGAAGAACATGGGTGTTGAGTCTGTGTGGGAGATGAATATATGTGTGGAGGCAGTGGGCACTTTGTCAATAGTGCATCTGGTGACTCAGCTGGTTAGGCCTATTTCAGTTTAAACATGTGCACCTTGCAATTGACTCTTCTGTATTTATACTTAATCCTCTTTGCTTAGAAGCTTAGGTTAAAAAACCCCACAGTATTTTCTCATATAACAACTGGGTCTGCCTCACCAGGTCAGTTGTGCACTAGCTCTCCTGATATGACTTCATGGCATACACACTTTGCACACTCTCTAAGTCAGCTGGGTGGCTGCCTAGCCGAACTGTGTTGCTGGCCCATTCTCAGCATTGCACATATTGCCCAGTGAATGGAAGGAGCTATTTCTTGTACACAATATTTATATTATTGTATTTTATGTCATGCAGCTTTTGCCAATTTTTATTGTACTGCATGCAAAATACAGAGTAATGAAGGATTGGAATCTAATCCCAGAATGAAGTGGGTTTTGTAAATATATCCACTTTGCTACCTTCCTTCCCTAGTACAACCTTTGCTCTTGAAAAGCAGAACTAAAAACAATAGATGCAACTGAAACAGGAAGTCTGGTTGAGCATTTGGTGTCACTCTAGTATGATGCACCTCATCTTTTGACTGTCAGGCACCCCATTGTGATCATTAGCATGATCCATATAGTTCCAGCCAACTTTTTACTACCCAAAGTAAAGAGGGAGGGTATCCAAGCTGCCTGGCATTGAGGTTTGTCATTAAATGGGGTTTCATGATCAATCCACCATTTACTATGAGATGCCCTCTTGTCAGGTGCCTCATGTAACTGATGCCAGCTATAAAATGGAAACATGTGGTGTAAAACCTTATAAATGCCTCTTAGCAAGTAATGCACTAACCCAGAAAAAGCAGCAGAGACAAGAGGATGGGCACAACTCTGGTTGATCCAGCTCCCATCAGGCATGTTGAAGACAAGTTTTATGACTGGGTGACCTTCCTTACATTAACACAAAAGGCGGGAACAGCTGGCTAGGTAAGGTTGCAACTCCTTGAGGTTATATTTGACTGCCCACCTGCCCATAAATTGGTATAAATAAGTGCAGGTAGAGTCTACCTAACAGATGGTTGGGCCACTCATATGACCTAGGTACCACTGTCCACACTCATCTTAACTTGTATCCCACATACTTCTTTGTTCACATTAATCACTGCTATGTTTTTAACAGCAATATAAAAAATCATTTTTACTGTAAAAGTGTCCAAAAGTATATAAACGATAAGCACAGCTTAACCATCAACAACTGTATGTGGTGAGAATCAGTCATGGTAATAGTGAATAAAAGAATGACATTGGCAAAATTTACTAAATTTATTCATTGTTTTATATACGGCTAGATCAAACCAAACATTACCAAAACCTAAAGGATTGAAGAATATCTTACTATTACAGTATCATGTTTACTGAAAAAAAAAAAAAAATTCTTGCAAATAATAAAACCTATTGAACAGAAATATGTCTTGATTTTTTTAGGTAATCCTCGGAGTTCTATTATAGTCAACCATGCCCAACATGTCCTCACACAAGGGAAAATAAACTTTACACATCTGAAAAAAAGGCGACAAAACTCCAGCAATGTGTCGAAAAATTCCCATACACTCATTCCGAACATGTCTCAGCATGGGCAGCAAGACCCACGCACCCGGCTCTTGCACACACTTACAGCTCAGTATCAGTAAAGAAAGGTACACATAAACGTGTCATAGCTATGCAGTATATACTGTATATATAATTTTTTTAATTCAGGGTAAAAAAAAGGTGGGAATGTTTCAGGATGTGACTCAGTCACACTGCTACCTTGCCAAAATCATCATAAGCCTCATGGTATTAGTTAGAGGTACATTCGAGGTTCCTTTTTATTATATTTTCCTAACATAATTGGTACTGTATATCATTTAAAATAAATTAACTTTATTTTAAAATTTAAATAAAAAAATAGAAAATACTTACTTAAGATGAATGATGATCCCGCTTATGGATGCCTCTATCTCCAAGCAATAATTTCTCTTCTCGTTTGTTTTTACTCCTCAATTCCAGTATGCAAGAGGATAAGATAATTCAAAGTATGAAATTGAGAAATTATTGGAATATTCTTAGAGCTGGCAGGAATTGTTCAGGATGTAAAATTGGTATAGTATGTGTTATTGGTACCATCCACAAACTCTGTAGCATGTGATTGGTGACTACAGGGTATTATTACATTCCTTATTATTACAATATTATTATCATTATTGTTTTATTTTATTAATTTGTTTATTATTACCAATATAATTTTGATTTATCATTTCTACCATTTGTCAACTTACTAGCTGTTCCTGTAGTCAGTCTATATTTTGTTATGACTTTTAGTGTCCAGAGTTAGTACAGGAGGAAACCGGAGTACTGTACCCGGATGTTTGTTAGGGTCACAATGTAGTATAATGCCCATCTCACATCCGACTCGGGAACTGAACCAGAGATACAATAATGAGAGGTAAATATGCTACTGTTGTGTCACCAGCACAAACACCAATACTATAACTCATTTCCTTTATTAAATTTATATTGATCTCTCTGCAGGAATCAAGGTCAGAAATCAGATACTGCCTGAAGCTAATACAAGTTGTTGGGGTTATGTTCCTAGGGGCTATTTTTTATGAAAGTTTTCTTACATAAATATTACTGTACTATACCTCACTTAAAACATGTAAAACTTCATTTAATAACTCAAATACAGGTATAGGAATATCGTGATTATCACAAAGTATGAGTTTCTAAAAGTCATTGCGAATAACTGATTTGCAAATATTGGGGCAATTTTCGCCATAAGAATCGATGTAATTAGGGGCAGAAGCATCCCAAGCTGGCTACTTTCAATTTTTTTTTTATATATTCCTCATTATCCGTGGCTATTAGGGACCAGGGTCACGTGTATACTGTAGTATAGTATTTCCTTAAAGCTCATGGTTTTAAACCTTGCATCCCTCGGAAACACGGATTCCCGTGGAAAATAAATAAAAAAATCTGAGGCTGTGTGCCAGGGATCAAGAGGAGATAACAGTACAGGGCAGTACAGAGCACCATATTTCCCAGGTCATAAGATGCACCCTATAATTAGCAAGGTATATTTTGGAATTTTTTTTTTATAGATTTAATAGCCTACCATAGTGGCAAAGCCAAATCACTGGCTATGTGCTATCATGTTTCGCTCTACCACAGCTCAATATCACTTTATGGACCTATCATCAAACATTTGATGGTACAAAGTATAATTAATAAAATTTACCTAATTTAATACAAAAGTATATAATTATATGTGTAGGTACCTACGGTATACAGTACACATCACAAATACTTATCGGTACCAGGCATGTCCAGTAAAAAGATCTTTTACATCCTGTGCACCAGATCAGTTGATGTTTCAGAGGTATATACAGTATTGTTTTGTCTTGGCATTGTCACTACCACAACTAACTATCACTGTGTGAACCTAATGTCCATACAGTGTTATTTCATGTTTATGTTTTTTTATTTGTTATTTCATATTTATTATGTTGTCTTCTGCATACATAATGTTGTTATACATGTGTATATAGCTATTTATATACTGTATATATTTTTCACACTCCTCGGACTGGCATGAAAAACTAACGGATTTTGCTTTCTCACGAGGTCCATTTTACCTAACTCCAGCGAGCTTTAAGGGAATACTGTACAGGTTGACCACCCTTTATCCAAAATTCCGAAAACCGAAAAGCTCTGAAAACCGAAATTTTGTTTTGTGGAGATTTTTTTTTTTTTTTTTTTTTTTTTTTACAGGTATTAGTCCACCCGGGCACAGGTCACTGACCCACATCGGGGCCTGGGGGGCGAAAATGTAATAGTAATAATAATTATTCATAGTAAATAAAAATTTTAATAAAAAATACACAAAAATAAAATAAGAATGATAATAATAATAATAATAATAATAATAATAATAATAATAATAATAATAATAATAATAATAATAATAATAATAAAATAATAATAATAAAATTAATAATAATAATGCAGTCGACCCTCGTTAATTCGGACCCCTTTAATCAGGATTTCGGATAATTCAGACGAAATCTGAACTAAGCGAGGGACTGTCCGTACCAAATTTCAGGTTCTGGGATTGTCTGATAGATGGCGATCGCGCACGCCAGACCACCAGTCATTGTTGACTTAGCGCCATATTCGAGTATAAGTGTTGTGTTGCCCTGCAATTTTCGTTGATATTTCAGTGAATAGGCATCTTTCAGCCTTGTATTTTACATCATGTCTTCAAGGGGAGTAATACGCTGAAGAGGAAGTATGTGACCCTTTCTGTGAACCAGAAACTGGAACTTATAAAGAAGTTAGAGGCTGGTGCTTCGGTGGCTAGAGTTTGTGACGAGTATGGTGTTAAAAAGCAAACAGTTTCGGACATATACAAGGCTAAGGACAAACTCACTGCATTTTCTTTGAAATATAATGCAATATTATGCAATATTAACCCCTAAATCGGTTAATTCGGACAATCGGCTAAAACGGACACCCTTCCCCCCCCATTAGTCCGAATTAACGAGGGTCGACTGTCATAACAATAATACTGTAATAATAAAATAATAATAATAAAGAAATACAGTACAAGAATGAAAAACGATCAAAAGTGAGAAACACGACCTAGACCTATGAATTATTATTATTATTATTATTATTATTATTATTATTATTATTATTATTATTATTATTATTATTATTATATTTTAGCCGACAGACCCCAATGTGGGTCAGTGACCTGTGTCCGGTTGGTCTGATCCCTGTAAAAAAAAAAAAAAAAAAAACCCTAACCATTCTTAAAACTCGAAAAATTCCGAAAACCTAAATGCATCTGGTCCCAAGGATTTCGGATAAGGGATTGTTAACCTGTACCAATAAATGTCAGTAACAAATACATATACAGGTTGTACCTCTCTAGTCCGGCAACCTCGGGACCTTAACATACGCGGGTTTAGCATACACGGATTTGCAAATACGCGGATTGCCCCGCTGGAGGAATATTCTGTACATTGAAGTAATTGAAGTACATTCAAATCGCGCGCCATTCAACCCGCGCACGGCACCGAACACAGGACACCGCCCGCTCCTGCAACCTCACACGCACAGATCTCCCTCACTCAGTCAGTCTAGCTGTAACCACGCTTGTATTGACATGAGCATTGTAGTTGCAAAAATATTACATTTCCGTGAATGTATTATATCAAGCACAGTATGAATAGAATATCACTAGTATAACAGTATTTTAACCGAAAACTATTAAAAAAACGAGTAACATATCTTGAACATCGGAAGGTTAGGTAAAGTCTTTTGTTTTCATGTAGTTGATCCTTATTTACATCGAAATACAATACTTTTCAGCAAAACTACTATTTATTTCTGAGAATATGGAAATGTAATATTTTTGCTAAAATGACGTACGTATTACAGTGGAAAGTGACGAAAGCAATGACTTTCGCCTTCTTTCGTTCAAAAGATGTTACTGTAATCGCTTTTCGAATGGTTTTCAGTTAAAAAACTGTTGTATTACAATAATATTCTATCCTAATTCACTTGTGATGCAACAGTTTTTTTAACTGAAAATCATTCGAAAAGCGATTACGGTAACATCTTTTGAACAAATGAAAGCAAGTCATTGTTTTCGTCACAATTTTATCCCACTTTCCACTGGAATACGTACGTCATTTCAGCAAAAATATTACATTTCCGGGAATGCATTATATCAAGCACAGTATGAATAGAATATCATTGTAATATAACAGTATTTTAACAGAAAACTATTATAAAAACGAGTAACATCTCTTGAACATCGGAAGGTTAGGTAAAGTCTTTTGTTTTAGTCATGTATTTTATCCTATTTTACATTGAAATACATCACGTTTCAGCAAAACTATTATTTATTTCTGAGAATATATTCATTCGGGCACAGTTTAGGTAAAATATACATGTGATGTAACATTTTTTTAACTGAAAATGATTCGAAAAACACGTACCCTCTAGCCCTGTTCAAGGAGAAGACTAGGAGGAGCTGTTTGGTGTTGAAGACGATGACAAGGAAAATGATTTTGATGGATTTTAATGAAAATATTCAGAAATATGGTATCGTAGTATTTATTCAAGTGAATTAGGATAGAATATTATCGTAATACAACAGTAGTGACGATGTGGAGGAGGCGGAGGGATAGAGCGGGGAGGAGGCGGAGGGATAGAGCGGGGAGGAGGCGGAGGGATAGAGCAGGGAGGAGGTGACTGGCGGGAGCAGGGACGAGTGGAGATGCCAGCCAGTACATTACGGGTGTATTAATTGTTTTTATAGCTATTTTTGCATTTTAATATTAAATACTGTACATTACGTTTCAACAAAACTACCATTTATTTCTGAGAACATGGAAATGTAATATTTTTGCTGAAATGATGTACGTATTACAGTAGAAAGTGGGATAAAATTGTGACGAAAGCAATGACTTTCTCTTTCTTTCATTCAAAAGATGTTACCGTAATCGCTTTTTGAATGGTTTTCAGTTGTGGGATTATAAGGCTAATGATAGGATAGAATATTATTGTAATACAGTACGAGTACAACAGTTTTTTAACTGAAAACCATTCGAAAAGCGATTACGGTAAAATCTTTTGAACAACGAAAGAAAGCGAAAGTCATTGTTTTCGTCATGATTTTATCCCACTTTCCGCTGAAATATGTACGTCATTCCAGCAAAAATATTACATTTCCATATTTATTTCCGAGAATACAGGTTGTACCTCTCTAGTCCGGCAACCTCGGGACCTGACCGGTGCCAGACCATGGAAATTCACCCTTTTCCTGGATAGATAGTGACTTGTGCTTATGCCTGGAAGCACTAGCACCACTTTCTCTGCGTCATGGTCTCTTTGAAGACATATTGAAGGGTTAAATGTCGTATAGTAGCTTCTCAAATTTTGCGTGTTTTTAATTCTTAACGTATTTTATTGGAACACACAAAAAAATAAATAAATAAAAATTTTGACGGCGGAAACTTGAATTTCGACGGGTTTGAACGGCCTGCCAACGTGCAGACGACGTGCATAATCGTGTAAACAGCGTCATTTCTCTTTTGTACAAAATATTCATTATTGTTTATTACTGAATGTCTTTTTTATTGAATTATGTTTATGTGTGCAAAATGAGCAATAAAATTCATTAATAATACGTAGAATATTAAAACACACGAGGAAATGACACAGCATTGTTTTCGTTGATTACAAAACCAGTGACTGACTGGTTCTACATATAAAACTGAAGAAAATAGGACCTTGGTTGTAGCAGTAGTAAAATTAATATGGTTGTTTTAAGTAATGTTATTTAATGTTAATAAATGGAACAATAGAAGTAGCTAACGATAATGGTAAAGAAAAAAGAGAGATCGCATATGTAAGTGCGCATGCGCACACGTGAAAACATATCGTCATTACTTTACATAAGAATATGAAAGCAACACTTATTTACTGTTCATATATATTTTAATTAATGTTTCTGAATTTGTTTTTATTGAATTAATGTACGTGTGTGCAAAATTAACAATACAATTTATTAATAATACGTGGAATATTAGAGGAGACGAGACGGCTGCCGGCATTGTTTATGTTAAAGCTTACGAAACCAGTGACTGATTGGTTCTACATATAAAACTGAAGAAAATAAGACCCTGAGTTTAGCTGTAGTAAAATTAATGTAAAAAATGAATATGGTTGCTTGAAGTACCTGTAATGTTATTTAATGTTAATAAATGGAACAATATAAGTAGCTAACCATTAATGGTAAAAAAAAAAGTGAGACTGCTCGTATGTAAGTGTGCACATGTGAAAATATATCGTCATTACTCTACATAAGAATATGAAAGCAACACTTAATTACTGCTCATATATATTGAAGGGTTAAATGTTGTACTCTGTATAGACAAGCAGAGAGAGAGCAGCCGAATTGCCGGATGTAAACAAACCTTAATTACCCGAGGGTTTTTTTTTAAGGGGATTAGCCCACCCGGGAATAGGTCACTGACCCACATTAGGGCCTGAGGGGCAAAAATTTAATACTCCTGTAATAATAATAATAATTCAAATAAGTAAAAAAAAAAGCTGCCTATCTACCTATTAGACAAACTAAAATCGTTCCGGACCAAGGGAGTTTCCGGACCACAGAATGCCGGACTAGAGAGGTACAACCTGTATATTCATTCAGTCACAGTTAAGGTAAAATATACTTGTGATGTAATATTTTAATGAAAATACGGTATCGTAGTTTTCTTTTGTTTCAAATTTAATGAACAAAGATTGATGTTTCAAATGTAATGAACAAAAATTTATGTACAGTATCTATATATACACTTTAATAAATGAATACTTTATGTTTTACATCGTCCTGTGCTACCATCCCATGGATTTGGCTACTTTGGGCTTGCTATGATGACGTAAGAGATCTGCCCTGGCAACTGTACCGACACTCACAGCTGGTGGTGCGTTGGTGCATCGTTTCCATTGTTTACTGGTAGTTACTGGTAAATATTTTTCAACCTAACGAAACTATTACCCGTTTAGAAGTCGACCCCCAATTTTTTGCCAAATAATTTGGTCTTAAAAACTCAAACTACACGCAGATATATACGGTAAATAAAGACATGGGGGGCCAGGGTTTTCTTTTGGGGGGGGGGCACAGCAAAAATGTGCGGATTTTTAACATCCACGGGTATCTCTGTTACGAAACCCCCGCGTATGTTAAGGGCCGACTGTTCTGTATTTTTATATCATCATTTATCGCTTTTATACATTTATACAAGTGCCGGAAGGTATGGACAATCAGCTTTTTCGGACAGGTGGTCCCCTTCTTTTAGTTCGGAGCTTCAAAGGTTCATTGTATTTCCCATATACTGTACCTGTATTCTGAAGCTCACCCAATGCAAATTCATGGAAAGCATTGTGCTTCAAGAATGTAACCCTCATGTTTGGGGTGACGTCTGCCTGTATATGTGATTGATGATATGTTGTTTGGTAAAAAAAATAAGTGAAAAATTATGAGGATCAAGTCCTTGACCCTATTTACCCCTAAGTTTGCACTAGTACCCATATTTATAGTTCCTTGTGAATTCCAAGAACGTAACCTCCATGAACAGTAAGGTCTTGCTGTAGGTCCAACATTATTTTGCAGGAGTTGCCATGTGGCTGGTGTTATAATTTTGGCACACCAAGCCTCACAGCCCACACATCCATCCCTTATCACAGAGTAATAACCTGGCTAAAATTTCCATAGTTAATTTTGGCTAATGAAAACTTTGGGATTGGGATTGGGATTTTTGAAAACAGATGAATTATGGAGATTTTACTGAATTATGTCAGTCCATAATTGTTTAAAGGCAAAATATGAAATTCATTGAGATGGAATCCCTGGCCTTTCCTTAAAAGAAGATTAATCTCTATTAGGGAAACTATGTTAGTGTTAAGCTATGGGGGGTGGGGGTAAGGGTTATTCATATCTATTAAAGTAATGGAACAGCCCACGACATGTTTAATTTTAAAAGAAGGAATTATTAAAATTTCAAAAGAATGTGAAGAAAGATAGACAGCAAAAATGTTCTTCTGTAACTGTGAGTGGCAGCAGTAAAAAATATAAGATGAAGACTCAATATGTTTAATTTTCAAGGATATAAACTAGTAAAACCTTGAAGATATGGAAGTAGTACCACGTTGGAAACACCATTTCTTGTCCGATCAGCAAAGTTAAACAAACTTGGGTCGCCGGCATAGGGACTCTATTGAAAACAAACCTATCATGGCTTTGTCAGCTGTCCTCAATCCAATTGACTGAATATCAATTAGTATAATTAAGAAGAGGCAATCTTAGCTCCTCACGTAAAGGGCAGGGACAGCTCTTTATCTGACTCCTCAATTACAACCCTCCTGTATGGGTGGCCCAATCCAGTAATGCCCCTGACATCATTGAAACATGCAATCCCTCCATCACAGAAAGGTGGCTGTCCACTGGGCAAGAATGTGGTTTAGTCCCTGACAACTAACCCTGAAGCATCTAATGGGGAAGCAAACTATCTCTTTGTTAAATATCAGGTAGAGTATGGGTGAGGAAAGAAGGTGAAAATGCCCTTTGTATCAGATGGGGACTGAAGCAAAAGTTTAGTATAAAATTGGGGACTGAAGCAAAAGCTTAGTATCCAATTGGGGACTGAGTAAAAGCTTAGTAGCCAATTGGGGATTGAATCAAAAGCTTAGTATCAAATTGGGGACTGAAGAAAAGCTTAGTAACAAATTGGGGGCTGAAGAAAAAGCTTAGTGTCAGAAGGGGTCTGATGCAAAAGCTTACTCTCTGATGGGGACTGAAGTAAAATAACAAACTGGACATGAAATCAAAATGTGGGCCTGTAACAGTGACATGAGGTACCAACTGGGTAGTGCAGCTCTTAATAAAACCTCCTGCCTCTTGAGGGCAACATTTAATTGTAATCTCTTTGTTTTAAAGGTGATGTTTGTGACTAGGAAGGAAGGATGATCATCACAGGGGCATGGCATGAGAGCCAAGCTGGTGCCGTATCAAGAGCTGCCTGGTGGAGGGTGTTAAGCTAGAAAACAATATAACAGGGAATGTTATTTACAAGCCTGTCTGTTCCTAATATGAATCTTCCAATGAACCTCCTATCCAATAACCGAGGCAAAATCCCCTGACATTTTATCTCTGCTCACATCATGATAAACTTGCATAGCCTAAAGGACCTAACATACAGTGCCTGTTTTCAAAAAACACTCTGAAAAGTGTACTGAATCATAGGTCATGAAATAATGTTCTCCCTTCGACATAACACCAAAGTTCAACAGCCCTGCCAACTGACATGTTGGCAAATACCATAGGTCTGATCCATTATCACAATGAAACATCGTGCAATAAGACAAGATGCAGTGGGACTGTGCACTTAGCTTCCAAAAGCAGAGACAGCAATTGCTCTTATGTACACAGCAAGGAATGGCTGAACACCTGGATGGTGGGTTGTGCCTGACTATACAAGACAGGATCACCCCACAGATGAAAGGTGAGGTGCATCATACTTGGGTGACAATGTGCTAAATTAGGTCTCCCATTTTCAGTGGCATCTGTTGATTCTCATTCCTCTTTTCTAATGCAACAGTTGCAATGGGGAGGGACTATCCAATCATATCATTAATTGGAATTCAATCCACTTACCCAGCCACCAATACCACAATACTCTGGGTCAACCCTCATGACATGGTGTGTGCATTACATGGGCAGAAGGGCATCACATAAAGTAAATAAAAAGGGGTTCCACAGGTAATCGCATTAAAACATCCCCTAAATAGTACAGGTATAACATTAACAGGTATATCAGCATTCAGTTACTCAAGCTGAAGAATCAGACAAACAGTTCCTGTGAGTCTTTAACCTCTGCTATTTCACTCTGCCCTTTACATCATCATTTATAGTCCTTATAGATCTTATCAAAACCAAGAAAAAAGTTGTACTTACAGGCTGTCCATATTTATGGCACATGTACATATGGAGTTCCCTGAACCTTCGGTATCTTCTAAAAACTGTCCAAGAATCATTTCCAGCTGTTATTTTTACCTGTTAAAAGAAAAAAAAAAATATTGAGTGTATATTTCAAATGACATCATAGCCCACTGCATTTGTTTGTACAGTATGTATCAAATTGTTGCTTTCTCGCATTACAATGATCATCACCTATACAATCAGGACCTTTCCCCGCCATAATTTTTAGGTTTGGTGCCTGATTTCTGTTGACGTCATTTATTGTGACTTAAGACTTCCCTCCACCAGCATGGAGGAAGTGTCTGGCAATTCCAGTAACACATTGCCAAAGTAGTACAACCATGACACTCCAAAAAATTATGGGAATCAGAGTGTGAGCTTCAGCAATAGTGACACAGATGAACTAGTTATCAGCGTAGGAGAAGTGCTTAGAGACTAAGAAGAAAGCGAAGAGGAAATTGAGATACAAATGCTTCTCCAAATGTTGCACATCAAAACATTGAGCTTATGGTGCAAAATGAGATAGACGGTCATATACTCCCCTAGTGAAGCTGGGTAGTTATCAAGCTATGCAACCATTCACAGTTAAGTTACATGAATGTATCCAAAGGCTGACCCTCAGGACACAGAGTGAACACAACCAAACAGGGAGGTACTACCACCTGGGAAGATATTGGAAGCACAGTATTGTATTGTCTAATGGTAGACCCGACTATCATATGGCATCACGAAAATTGTGACCAAGTCCCAGGTTGCTGATCTGACTTTCTGCCACATTTACACACAATTGCAGGGTCTCAATGTTTCTCTTTTTTGACAACACAACATACTGTACATATATCGTTTCTCACTATTCATCTTTTTTCATTTTTGTATTATTATTATTATTATTATTATTATTATTATTATTATTATTATTATTATTATTATTATTATTATTATCAGTGTTGTTATTATTATTATTATTATTTTATCTTTAATTTGGTATTTCTAATATAAATTTTATTTACATTGAACTAATTATTATTATTATTGTTATTATTATTACATTTTCACCCCCCAGGCCCTGATGTGGGTCAGTGACCTGTTGCCTGGGTGGGCTAATCCAGAATAAAAAAAAGAAAAAAAAAATTAAATAAATAAATCTGCTGCTATGCCACTTAATTCCTTGAGGTTGGACTCACTTGGGAAACCAATTAGTGGTCTGACAAATTTTCAAGATTAGTCTTTGGTCTTAGCCCCTGGACTTAATAGCTGAATAATAGAAGTCTCCTTGGGTGGTCATAAGGTCATAAAATCAGCTTTAACTTTATACATGGCAGTTATACTCACTGGTCAGGATATTGTCCATCTATACAATTCCATTTCAACAAAGTTTCTTAACAAATAAGATATAAATGAAAACTGAAAGTTGGTTATGAAAGGATGAAGATTAATTAGGAGTGACTGTAACACAACATTAAAATACTGTACTGTAGTTACACAAAACTGTAAGATGAAACCTAAGTACTGTACAGTAAACCCTCAATTTACACAGTATTTTTTATATTCAGTATAACCTAATTTATACAGAGAACAACATGGCAGTCAAGTGAGCTTAGAACTTTTGAGTTCTACTATATGTTCCTTCCTGATTGCCACTGTCACCACGGAAGGGTGGATCCAGGAAGTTGTGGGTAGTGGAACATGGCGAGCGCAGCAAGCCTACCCAGCCTATCAAGCTAAACTAAAAAATCATTATGTTTTCAGAATTAAAAGTACTGCATGTACTACACCTTAATTCCAAGATTCAACCTTGAGCTTGTGAGTTTGACCACCTTATATTCTGTGCACTACTGTCATCCACAGCCACAGAGTGGGTGAGTCAGCTGTTTAGTCTACAACCACACATACTTTAATGTAAGAGATTGCTTTATATAGGTTGCAATAGTAAACACACTTTGGAATCAAATTAAAACAATATTAAACCAAATATATCAAATATAATAATTTGTGGAATGTATATATGATGAGCCACTGTAAATGCACTAGTGATGGGGACTGTACATTACACATCATTCAATTCATTACTGATGAAATGATCACAAACCTCATATTCCCAATGTGCAGCTGAGCCAGCACCTCTCATTTCATAGCTTGGTATGCTGATACAGATTCCACAGGACATGTCGTAGTCACCTGCTAAAACAATTTAAATGTACAACTTACATGTTTAACAAGCATATATTCTCATAATATTTAAAAAAAAAAAAGTTCCTTCAAACACATCTCTTGTACACACAGTCTAATTCACTGTTTTACTTTCTCACTTTTATATACATTTTCTTAGTATCTTTACTGTATTCCTTCCATAATCATAATTCCCACATCAATATCAAACTGTGTGTAACTGCAGGAGGAGTGATATCTAGGGAATAGTGTGTGTATGTGCATGCAAGTGTGAATAACCAGAAAGCATGGTAATGAGTAGTGTCAAGTAACAAGGATAAACCATATAAATTTTAAGACCCTGATGTAGAAGAGGACTACTATAGAAGAATACACCAATTACTGTTGTATGATTGAATGAAAGACCACAAATGAAAGGAAAGTCTATGTATTTTTTAAATTCCAACCACACTGCATTGCAGCAAAAAAAAAGAAAAGAAAAAAAAATACAAGTAAGTACATATAGCAAGTAAATAATTATGTAAGGCCCAAATAAGAAATACAATTACCGTATAGAGGAAATCCAGGGAAAAGATTGAGGCATTGACCTCCATGCCTAGACTGCCAGTGCCATAATGCCATTGACTGGTTCTATGGCATTATTGTACTGATCATTGCAGAGGTTCATGAGGTAGAATGAAGCAGTAGTGTACAGGTATATGATTGAGCATACATTAAGTAGTTGTATATTAAGTGTAAATATTTTCCTACTTGGGCAGTATTTATTTCTATGTAGAACATTGTATTTTGGGGGAAGGTATACTGTTCACATTTTTTGGGCTAAATGAAGCTATCCCTGTATTTCCGGTGAGAAGTTAATTCTACTATTCACATTGATTGAGATGTTTTACAAGCAAAACCTTAAATATTTGGAGGGGACCAATAATATTTTTTAGATATAAATACCTCAGGACAAAGAACTGTTTGCATCACAGATATTTTCAGATTATACCACATGTTCTGGCTTATAAAATAAATTTTTACTCGTGTGTAAAGAAATGCATACAGTGATATCTCAGTTAGTCGGAACGATTGGTGCAGAGCACTTCCGGGGAAGAGAGATTTCTGGCTAATCAGACGACTTTCTCAAACCCCCCAAAATTCCTTATCCCGGGAATCTTTTCCGGTTACTGGGAAAAGTTTCCGGGTGCCTAAACTAGACATCGTGCACAGACAGACACTAGCCCACTTCCCCAGAATGTTTCTGGATGCTGGAGATGTTTTCCTTGAGTCTAAACTACCAGAGTTTATAAATGCAGTTCTAATTAAGTTAGAAATTCCATTTATTTACTATAATCCAAAATAATTTATCAAAAGTTTGGCTAAATAAACATACTTAAAAATTATAAACATATATGATACGGGCGTGAATGAAGCTGTGTGTTAAAGCAAAGACTGGTATTTTCCACTCCCATGAAACTGTGGGAGATAAGTGGGTCTCATGTAAGTGACCTGATCTAACGTAATGTCAGGAAACTCAACTACAACCACAGCTGCCACAAGATTCTCACATCAAATTTTCATTATTTAAACAAATACAAACATTTGGAAAATTCTCATAACCTTAAATAATAATGAATAGTTTATTATTAAAAAAATTCTACCTTTGGTTTGTTTAATAATTATCCTGACAGTGATACAGCCAAAAACAGATCCACCAATCACAATCACCTTTACATACAGCCTTCCTTTGCCAAGTTATTGCCAGGTAAAATTGCGAGCACGAGATCCAGGGTGGGGTCGGTGCATCTTTGGCTGACTGTACATCTAAAGAAATAGATCCAGAGCAAAAAATTCAATATTATCCAAGTAGTTGGTCTTCCAACCCACGCACCAAACATGTGAGGATGTGGCTAAGCGTGGTGCAATCTTTCATAACGCTGGGAACCTTTGTCCACAGGCCCGGAGCAGAAAGGTTTGGAGTGATTTTCTTGCCATTTTCTCAGATTTTCCGGTAATTGCTTTATATCATTATTAATCGTTTTGATACATGTAATACATTCGCTGTAGGCTGAAGTAGGTTTTACTATATCATGTGTCTGAGGTGTGAGAGTATTAAAGGAATTAATCTTGATTTAGCAAACTAGTTCACTAAATCTAGCGAGAAATAACGTAAAAATTATCTTCTGCTAAATCCAGAGTTTGTTAAATAGGATTCCGTTATATATATATACAGTCAACCCTCACTTTACGCGGTCCCACATTCCGCGTTTCCACATTTACGCGGTACCCTGCCGGAACCCGGGATGCTCACATTCCGCGGTGCGTGTACCCCTTTACGCGGAGAGTGTCCGGCTCGCCGCTATTTTTAGATTCGCCCCTCCCGCCTCCGCCTGGGCAAGCCGCGCGGTAAGGTTGCGCAGTGCATGTCTCTGTTGCGTTATCAGTGACGTCATATGACGTATCGGACTGTGATTGGCCATGCATCCCTACCTCCCTCCGCTGCTAGCTGTAATTGGTTTAAAGTAATATGACGTGTCCACCCGGGGGAGGGAGGAAAGACGACGCTTGACCTAGCCGCGGCAGTTTCATCCCTCCAGGCCACACCATGTAATCGTGCATCCATTGTTCTGTAAAATGGCTTCCGCCGGACCACCGCCCCCAGAGAGAAACCTTTCCTTGCCTGGACCCAGCCGCCCTAAGCCAAAGAAGACACGACGTTCCTTAAGCTACGAGGTGAAGTACAAGATCATCCAAGAGTTGGAGAAAGGAACAAGACAGGTTGATTTGGCGCACCAGCATGGTGTGAATGAATCTACTATCCGGACGATAAAGAAGGATGCAGCCAAGATAAAGGAGCACATGAAGATCACAAAGTCTACAGGTGCTTCTATGATCAAGTATTTCCACAACCAAGTGCTTCTCAAGACGGAAAAATTACTTGTGAGCTACTTGGTGCGTAAGGTGCGACGGAACATGGCGGTGGACATGCGCTCTGTTAAGGAGTACACACGTGAACTGTATGCTGCAGTGTCACGAAAGATGGGAATTACAGAGCCCAAACCCTTTAATGCTTCCTCTGGGTGGTTACAGAGGTTTAAGATGAGGAACAAGAACACCAATATCAACATTGGTGGAGAAGAAGCTAGTGCTGACCGTGTTGCGGCTAGGGAATTTCCTCCGTTTTTATGTGAGATTATGGAGGAAGGACAGTACACCGACGACCAGGTGTTTAACATGGACGAATCTGGTCTTTTTTGGAAAAAGCTACCTTCCAAGACCTTTGTTGTGAAGAAAGCCAGCAAGATTCGGAGCCGGAAGTTGCAGAAGGAGCGCATCACCGTCCTGTTTACCACCAATGCCTCCGGTACCTGTAAGCTCAAGTTATCGGTGATTCACACAGCCCGCAAGCCGCACGCCTACAAGAATATGGACATGAACAAGCTTAATGTCCACTGGCTAACCGCACGTAAGGCGTGGATGTCCTCTTCTCTGTCCCTCTTCTGGTTTGACGACTGTTTTGTTCCCAAAGTGAAGAAATTCTGCGAGCAACAGAATGTTCCATTCAACATTTTGTTGCTCCTTGACAACGCACCTGGACACTCGCCCCTACTTATGGATTGTCACCCCAACGTAAAAGTGGTCTTCCTTCCTCCCAACACTACGTCATTAATCCAGCCCATGGACCAGGAGTTGATCTGCAATGTGAAAGCTGCGTACTCTGCAAAGAAGTTCAAGCTCCTGAACGACTCTACCAACACCAAGGATGAGTTGCGTAAGCTGGGTGACACCGACAGCGAGAGTAAAAGCGACGAGGACAAGGAACAAGAGGTGGTGACTCAAGAAGTTCTCGTCAAACAATTTTGGAAGAAGTTTAACATCAAACAAGCTGTAGACTTCTTGGTGGAGGCATGGGATCAGCTGTCTCTTGATACGATTCGTCACGCATGGAGACATGTGTTGCATGGCATGCCAGCTGAGAGGAGGAGTGAACCTGTGACTGGTGAGGTTCAGACTGTTGCAGTAGCAGTGGACCTTGCCAGAGAAGCTGCGCAGACTGTTACAGTTCCAGGCTTCTCCGAGACCACCAACGAAGACATCCTGGAGGTGATCAGAGATCCTGAAGTGACTGCCGACGAGATGTTGGAAGAAGATCACGTCAGTGAAGAGGAGGAAGAAGGTGCGTCATTCTCCGAAGAACACAGTTTAAGTCATAGTGATATTAAGGGTGCCATGGAGTGTGCAGAGAAAATGAAGTCCTTCCTTTCCCGCGACAATAACGATGACCGCTATGAAGTCTTCCATACCCGGCTGGTGCAGGCTATGGAGCCATACATCACGGTATATCAACACAACATAAACACCAGCCGTCAAAAAAGCATAACCGAGTTCTTCGCCCGCAACCCACCACAGCCAGCCCAAGCCAGTGATAGTGACAGAGGTAGAGACACTGAAGATGACTTTGAGGGATTTGTCAGGGAGGCCATAACAAGTGTGGGTGACAGTGATGGTGACTCACCTGAGGGCCAGTAGCCTGCCCTCTGCCTCGGAACCAGCCTCCATCCCCGTACGCCGACCCATCTCTTCTACTAACGTAAGTGTTCAACATAACTTTTAGTTTTCCTAACCTAACCTTTATTTTTCCTAACTTAACCTTTATTTTTCCTAACCTAACCTCTTCTATATTACTTGTTTTTTCATACCATCATAAAGTTAAGATAAAATTTTTACTACAACATAGTTGTGTGTCGTCAAAAAGTGGAGTTTGGGGGTCGGGCCAGTTTCTATTGGAATTAATCCCATATGTTCTGTTGTTCACTTAGCGCGGTTTTCACTTAACACGGTACCCTGTGGGTTTTATTGACCGCGTTAAGCGGGGTACTACTGTATATATATATATATATATATATATATATATATATATATATATATATATATATATATATATATATATATATATATATATATATATATATATATATATATATATATATATATATATATATATATATATATATATATATAATATATATATATATATATATATATACACACACACACACACACACACACACAGTAAAGCCTCGAATATCGACGTTATTGTGTCCTCCAATATTGCAGTGTAAGGTGAATCGTCTATCGCGAATCATCAATTACCATTAACATAAAGCAATAATATTGAGATGCGTTCCCAAGTGTGACCTTTTCATATCTTTTATGTGGCTTTTTACCCTCTTTTCCCCCCAAAACAATACAGTACAATTAATGAAAAGTGCAAACTATATTCTTTAAATAATGTTTCTAAATGCACCTTAAACAATATACAGTGGGGTATGCTATAACGAACGGATCCTACTACGAATATTCCTAAAACGAACGGTTTTACCTCTAAAATTGAGAATGCTATAACGAACGCAACTCCTACAACGAACGCGGATGAATACTGGACTATTTCGTCTGGCGCATGAATATTGTTGTACCGAGACCCACAACAAGAGCGTCAGGTGCCATCTTTGTCTCATTGTGTAGCCAGTGCACCACTGTTATTGTTGAAATTTTTCGTCTTTTGATGTGGAAATACGAGTTATTTGTATAAATATTTTGTTATAGAAGTGTACAATTGTAACAATGAATCGTCCAAAGTGAGTGAGAAAGCTCATAACTCTTGAAACTAAGAAAGAAATCATAAAGAAACGTGAGAATGGAATAAGCATTGCGAAACTTAGTGATGAGTATGGGAGTTGAAAACAGTGTAAGTGGCTAAGGGAATCTCTAGACTTAGCAAAGCAAGGTGTAATGTGATTGAGGAGACGGAAAATTTACTCTTAGTGTGGAAAAAGGAGAAAGAAATGGCAGGTGATAGCATTAGTGAAGCTATAATTTGTGAGAAGGCCAGACAATTGTTTGAGGATCTTAAAAGTCAAGACTCCCAGTGATAGTGATGTGCCAGTGTTTAGGGGTACCAAGGGGTGGTTTACCGGTTTCAGAAGGAGAAATAAATTACATAGTGTTGTGAGACATGGTGATGCTGCTAGTGCAGATAAGGAAGCAGCTAAGGAACACCATGACATTTTTTTTAATGTGATTAAAGAGGGAGGCTTTGTTTCTCAGAAGGTATTCAATTGTGATGAAAGTGGACCTTTTTGGAAAAAGATGCCTTGCTGTACATACATTACAAGGGAGGAAACTTCTGTCCCTGGCCATAAGCCAAGGAAAGACAGGCTTACCCTCCTTCTTTGTGCTAATGCTTCTGGTGACTGCAAAATAAAACCACTCCTTGTGTACCATGCAGAAAACCCCAGAGCTTTCAAAAACATTAGGAAGAACCGCCTTGGTGTTATGTGGCGGTCAAACCCAAAGGCTTAGATGACCAGGAGTCTTTTCTCTGAGTGGGTGATTGAGGTGTTTGGACCCAGTGTTCGGGAATACCTCAGGGAGAATAATCTTCCACTGAAAGCTTTGTTGGTGATGGACAATGCACCAGCCCACCCTCCTAATTTGATGGTTGAATTGCCAGAGGAGTTCAACTTCATCACTGTGCACTTCTTGCCACCCAACACAACACCTCTCATCCAGCCCATGGATCAACAGGTAATTTCTAACTTTAAGAAGCTGTACACAAAGGCACTGTTTAGAAAATGTTTTGCGTCCACTTCTTCCAGTGATGTTAGCTTGAAGGAATTTTGGAAGAGTCACTTCAATATAGCAGACGCTGTTTTTTTAATTACCTCAGCCTGGAAAGAGGTTACTGTGAGGTGTCTTTGTGCTGCTTGGAGGCCATTGTGGCCTGAATGTGTCCTTCAAAGAGACTTTGAAGGCTTCGAAGAGTTAGAGGAAGAGGCTGTTGTTCATGAAATTGTGTCTCTGGACAATTCCATGGGCCTGGAAGTGGATGATGATGATGTTGAGGAGTTGGTGGAATAGCACAGTAAGGAACTGTCCACTGAGGAGCTGCTTGAGCTTCACAAAGAACAAAACGAGACACTGAAGCGGAGCTTAACTTCTGAGGAGTCAGGGGAGGATGAGGACAAGGAGGAAAGCTGCATCATTCCAGCCAAAGATCTCAAGGATGCGTTCTTTTGCTGGTGCAAACTGTCCAAACTTGCTGAGGATTATCATCCTCATGTTGGTTCTGTGCAAAAGGCCATCAGTGTGTTTAATGATAATGTTATGAACTACTTTTGGAAGGTCCAGAAATCAAGGTTGAAGCAGCCAACCCTGGATTCCTTCTTTACAAAGGTAACAAAAGACCCTACAGACAAAGTGCCTGTGAGACAGTCACCAAAGAGGGCTAGGAAGGATGACTCCTCTCCTTCCACCTCTTCTCCATAATTCTCTCCTCCCCCCTCCCCCTCTGCCTCCTGTCCTGCATGCTAAACAACACTAAAGTAAGATAAAGTACCGTATTTTTTACATTTTCCACAAAATTTCTTCAGTGTTAAGTGGTTGTATTTGGGGGCCTGGAACGGATTAATCCTATAACGAACGAGGTTCTAGAACCAATTAGATTCGTTATAGCATACCCCACTGTATATATATATATATATATATATATATATATATATATATATATATATATATATATATATATATATATATATATATATATATATATATATATATATATATATATATATATATATACACACACGTTTACGCGGTACCCTGCCGAACACGGAATGCTCACTTTACGTGGAGTGTGTACCCTTTTACGCAGAGAGCGGCTGGCGGTCCTCTCACGCCGCGTCATTTTTGGAACCAAACCTCCCGCCATCTCTCCCGCCCTCACCCGCCATGTTGGGTAGGCGGCGCGAGTAGGTTGCGCAGTGTATGTCTTTGTTGCGTTATCGGTGACATCATATGACGTATCGGACTGTGATTGGGCCAAGCATCCTTACCTCCCTCCCCGCTAGCTGTGATTGGTTTAATGTACCTTAGTGATGGTCAGTTCAAAACTGATATGTTACATAAATTTATTTGTCAGTGGCCCAAGGTTAAAAATGCTTTGAAAACCTTTGATCTAGATGTATGATAGTTATTTAGTGCGTCCCTTATTTTTGACCTGACCTGACTAGTCACGTCACCCCCTTCTCTTAAGCTCCTCTACGTGTGTGTTGGTGTGGGGATTAGTGGATGACATCATTATGACCTGACCTCATGTTTAATAAGGTCACCCTGTATATTTAAGCCTCTCTTTGTCCATGTAATCCAGTTGCCTCTGAAGATGTCTTGAATAAAGACGAAAGCTAAGGTGCTCCGTTGTTTCCCTTTTCCCGTGTGATTTTATCAAGATTTATCTTATCCACGTTTTCATTGTGGATCTACATGAAATATATATATGCAAGTAAATCACTGTAGGTGCGCGTGATCTAGGTATATGCTGATAACAACAAGGAAAGACGAAAACACGAAGTTCCCAAGTGCTTTCGTGTAATTCACATCTTCAGGGGTGGGTACAGACTGTACCCACCCCTGAAGATGTGAATTACACGAAAGCGCTTGGGAACTTCGTGTTTTCTTCTTTCCTTGTGGTTATCAGCATATATATATACAGTCAACCCTCGCTTTACGAGGTCCCACTTTACGTGTTTCCACGTTTACGCGGTACCCTGCCGAAACCGGAATGCTCACTTTCCGCGGTGTGTGTACCCTTTTACGCGGAGAGCGGCGCGAGCAGGGTGCGCAAAAGGTCGCCCAGTCATCAAAACATTACCGAGTTCTTCTCCCGCCACCCACCACAGCCGGCCCAAGTCAGTGATAGTGATAATGATAGTGAGGATATGGACTTATATGGACTTTGAGAGGTTTGACAAAGAGGCCCTACAAGCCTCTGTGGTGAATAGTGATACAGGTGAGGGCCAATAATCTGCCCTCTGCCTCGGAACCAACCGCCCATCCCCGTGTACCCAGCCATCTTTTCTACTAATGTAAGTGTTAAAAAACCTAATATTATTGATATTTCTCTTAATTATTAATTGTGTGTGCATACCATCATAAAATTAAGAAGTTATTTTTACTACAACGTAGGTACTGTGTCTGAAAAAGTGGAGTTTGGGGGTCGGCCCGATCTCTATTTCAATTAATCCCATATGTTACGTTGTTCACTTTACGCGTTTCTCACTTTACGCGGGCCGCCGTGGGTTGAATTAACCGCGTAAAGTGAGGGTTCACTGTATATGCCCTTACGAATACAAAACTTTTTTGTAATGGAAATAGTTACTCAAGGGAGACTGAAGGGGACCAGGGGTGAGCAGCAAATCATCTGCAGAAGTCGCACTCTGGTAAAGACGGTTCCCAGTTTCACCTTCCATGTCATAGCCAGCCTGGGAACAACAATAAACAAAATACAAAGAAAAATGCATTATGAACTCAAAATTCTTTCTTGAAATGCTAGAAAATACGAGAAACATATAGTACAGTATACTGTACAGACTTAGCACACAAAATCTGGTTGTGAAGAAACAGGGAATGTGAAAGAAACATATATTTTTATCACTATGCTGTATATACATATACAGTATTGTATGTCTCTTTTCCACTAATTATGGTTTTTGTTCTAATGGTCCCCCCAAAATCTGCCTAAGGATAACAAAACGGATAAACATGAATAAAATGGTTTCACACAAGCTAGAGGTAGTGAATTGCATAGCAAAATAACAAATGCTCTGTTATGTTGTGAATGTGAGGCCCACAGCTATATAAGGACATAATTTCTAGGGAGTTTTTAATTAATATTTAAATCACATTTTATTTCATAACATTAATAATCACAATAGCTTACAAAAAATAATAATACTGAACTGTAATATTCATCTCATGGCTGTTCGTCAACTGACCAGTGAGCACCGAATGCCATGGATCAAAATCCATTTTTAAAACGTTTATGACAATCAAACAAGAAGCATGTTTGGTCATAATAACTGTAGTAAGACATAAAATAATTGCAAATGTAGTGGTGATGAATGATGTATTCAGAGGCATGTGCATGATCTCACCCCATTACCATTCATTAACTGTTGTCCTTTCAACACACCCATGTCATTAAAGAATGTCTAATTTCACCAATAACATGACTCTCGTTTGCTGTTTCTTAATTCAAGGTGTGCTTGCCAAGGCACTGGCAAGTCTATTATACATGATTTATGTCAATTTCTACAGAATTAATTATGCACACACACAGACACACACATGTAAACAACTTTCACTACAAGAATCTCTATGCATCTAAAAGATTCTAGTAGTTGAGCATGTGTACTGTATTTTTTATTTATTTTTTCCTGGTGAACAAGTACAATGTATTCTAAAATATGAAAAACTTTTACATATTTTAGGGAACCTGTAATATTTAATTAAAAGTATTTTAGACAGTTTACAGAGATTATATCATTGCTACTGCATCTTTTTATTACCATCATTGTAATTCTAGACAAATTCACATGCATGGTAAATCTTTATTTATTGTTGTACAGGGTACTGCATTTTTTATGCAGTGCAATGCAGTGTATTACATTACAGTGGTCCCTCGGTTAACGAACGCCTCGTTTAATGTAATTTTGGTTAACGAATTACCTTCCATAAGAATCTTCATTTCGGTTAACGAACAAAAATTTGGTTAATGAAATTCTTAAGAAAATGTTTCGACATGCTTTGGCTTGCTCACCAGCTGGAAGATTAGTCCGCCAATACAGAAATCGGTTCTAGGGCTTACATTCGTTAAAATTGGAGTAAATATCAAGAAGGTTATACTATTCAATAATTTTCCAAGTTTTATATTAAAATTTTTAGTAATTTTATCACTTATTTAACATAATTGCAGTACAGGGAACTAGTTTTTGGTGTGCCATTCAGCCACTTCACTCACACACCAAGGCCTCAGTTTGTGTGTCTGTTCAGTGGAGGAAATATCTTGCTTGTGGGTATCTTGAACACAGAGTATTTTTACGTTTTTACAGTACAATTATTGGTCATTCTGAAATTTATTTAACATATTAACAATATATAGTGCAGTGCAGTGTTGATTTAAAGAAAATAATCTTGAATTACACATAGTGAACTTAAAATTTTATGGGTGAAATGACGGCATCAAGCATGGGGTGATTTCTCTTCCACCCCCACTTCCTTCTCTTCTCCCTTCTCCTCCACCCCCACTTCTACTTCCCATTATCATCAACCAGGAGCCTTCTACATACACACCTCAAAGTAAGTGTACTTTACTGCATTTTTTTTACTTTGTATGTAATTTTCGGTGAGCTGGAACCCAAAATCCCATTGAAACAATGGTTTCGGTTAACAAAATTTTCGGTGAATGAAATTTTCAGTTAACGAACGACCTTCTGTAATGAATTGTGTTTGTTAACCGAGGGACCACTGTATATGTTTAATAATAATAATAATAACAGCTAATCTTTTGTTTCTACAAAGCACCAATTCCTCTAAAGAACTCACAAGTATTCAAAACACTACAGAGATAAGGACCCGAGGAAATAAAAAAAAATAAAAAAAAAATAAAAAAATATCACTAAAAGAGACAGTTCAACCTTTGTCATTGATATATCCTTAAGTTGTAACACCCTGTAGTTCTCCATTGTCCTCCCCTCTTTAGGATTATAAGCTCTCAAAAAAAGAAAGGTCTTAAGTTGTTTCTTAAAGGCCACCACAAAGGTCACCTGCTTCATGGATGTAGACAACCGATTGTACAATCTGGGTGCTGTACAGAAAAAAGGTCGGGCAACAAGAGAACGTTCCTGTACTGCTCTAGGCTCCTCAAGGCATGAGGGATCACCACTGCTATGCAACTCATTTTGGAATGCATAGTCAGAGGATTTAGTAGGTTGACCAAATACTTGGGCTCACCAAACGTAAGTGTCTTAAAAGTCATTTGGCAGGAGTTTGAACTCTATTGAAGCTTTAATTTCTTATTTATCTTTTTTAAGCCAATGCAATTCGATCAATAATAGGATGGTGGAAGACCCTTGTGGGAGAGTAAAATAAGCCTGGCAACCCTGTTCAATACAGTCTCTCCTCGACTTACGACATATTCGACTTATAACAACCAGGACATACGACCGCCATGGTTGTATAAAATATTTTTCACATTACTGTACGTATTTTCGAGTCCCGACGTTTGGTCGTAAAGTGACGCCGTACAACAGCTTGGGCTGGGCCGCCTCGTGGTGTACAGCATCCATGTCGTGACCCGCTCAGTTGGTGTTTGGCCGTCGTTGTTGTTAGTGATCGTGCTGTGTACTGACAAAATTTTCATTTGTAATTCCCTTTAAAATGGCTGGCAAGCGTAAAATAATAATAATAATTAACGGTTTATTGAAAGAGCTTGGCAGCCAGAAGGCTGAAAATATACAGTTACATATTCGTGGTGCTGAGAAGAAAAAGAGACAGTCAATTACTTTTGAGATGAAAATGAAAATAATAATGCAATATAAAAATGGATAAACGGTAGCAACCATTTTACGTAACCCTGGCTTCTCTCACTCAACGATATCAAAAATTTTGAAGGACAAGGAACGAATTCGTGAGGTAGTGAAAGATCCAGCACCTATAAAGGGAAGAATAATAACGAAAAAAAGACAAGGTCCTCTTCATGAGATGGAAAAATTGCTTGTGATGTGGATGGAAGATCACATACAAAAGCGTGTACCCTTAAGCCTTCTAACCCTACAGGCTAAGGCAAGAAGCCTTTTCGAAAACCTGAAGGAGCAGGCAGTAGATGAGTGCGACCAAAACTTCACAGCAAGTCATGGGTGGTTCCAAAGGTTTAAAAAATGATACAATTTGCACAGTGTAAGGGTGAGTGGAGAGGCAGCAAGTGCTGATGTGGGTGCTGCTGAAGCTTTTACGGAGGAGCTAGATCGTGTCATCGTGGAGGGAAATTATTTGCCTGAGCAAATATTTAATATGGATGAAACTGGCTAATTCTGGAAGCGCATGCCAGAACTGACATACATCCACAAAGAGGCGAAAACCATGCCGGGATTCAAGGCCCGAATCACACTTCTATTGGGGGGGAATGTAGCTGGTTTCAAGGTAAAACCCTTCATGATATACCATTCAGAGAACCTAAGGGCTTTTAAACATGTCAGCAAGCACACACTGCCAGTGTTTTATCGAAGTAACAAGAAAGCCTGGATGACCCTAGTACTGTTTGAGGATTGGTTCATGAGTTGTTTCATTCCACGAGCCAAGGAGTATTGTCTGCAACAAGGGGTTGCCTTCAAGATTTTATTAACTTTAGATAATGCTCCGGGACACCCACCACACCTGGACGACCTGCACCCTGATGTTAAGGTAGTCTACATTCCACCTAACACTACCTCTGTCATCCAACCCATGGATCAAGGTGCTATTGCAGCTTTTATAGCTAATTATTTACGTACGACCTTTGCTCAGGCCGTTGCTGCTACTGAAGGTGAGAAAACGCTCAGAGAGTTTTGGAAGGACTACAACATTTTGACATGTATAAAAACATTATTGCAGCATGGGATGAGGTTACAGAACAGTGTATGAATGGAATATGGAAGAAAGTCCTGAAAAGATATGTGAACAGTTTCAGAGGATTTAATGAAGATGAAGTAATTTCTGAGATTTGTAATAAGATAGGGGAGTTGGGTAAACAGCTGGAGTTAGAAATTGATAATGAAGAAGTTGAACAGTTGGTTGAAAGTGTAGCAGAAGAGCTAAGTAATGGTCCAAGATGCACTTGCTTGCTACAGGGAGATTTATAATGAAAAGAAAAAGCAAACTGTGCAGTCTAAATTGGACATCTATTTAAATAAGTCCCCCATTGCTGTCTCCTCACACCCCACCAGTGCTGCCTCTTCACTCCCTAAAGATGATCCAATACCTTCAACCAGCAAGTTTCCCCTGTACATAAATCTGTCTGAAGAAAGCGACATTGATGACCCACCCAGCCCTGTCTCCTCCTCTGCTTACTGCTTCATCCAATTAATATAGTCTCGATCAGTGGCAAATCCTGACCTAAGATCTTGAGCATGCTGTACCAAGGTGGTTTAACATTAAATACTATTTTGAGATAATATGAAAATAAAAGCTTTCAAGTAGGCCTGTGCATGCCATTGTATTATTAACTTAGCCTGCTACCTATTATCTCAATTAAATTTAAAATACAGTAGCCTAAAAAAGGAAAGGAAAAGTATTTGAAAAGTGAAATAAATTAAAAAACAATTTACCTTGTAATTGTATTTTAGTATATAAAAGTGTACAAAAGTCTTACCTTTCTCCTTCTCCTTGGTTTCTTCTCCCCTTTTCTTTCCCTTATAAACGAACTCCATCGAGTCCATCCTCCTATTTTTTTCAATAAATTTTTCAGTCACTTCTTCATAAAATGTATGCTTTATTTTCAAGTGCCCAAACAGAGTTTTTTCAATTGACATCAACGCTAAGGATGACAGTCTTTCCTGCCCTTGTGTGCTTCTGCAATAGGTCTTGATTATTTTTAAAGCAGAAAATGTCCTTTCTGCAGTTGCATTTGTAGCAGGTATAGTGACAATCAACTTCGCAAGTTTATACACTTCAGGCATTCCCAGATAGAGTTTAGTTTCATGCATGATTTTCATCAAATCGAAAACAGGCTTACCTTTGAACTCTGGGGAAACGTAAAGAACATTTAACTCATTCTTCAGCCTTACAGTATCAAAGAAAGATCCATACTGCTTCTCCAAACTTTTCACTGTACAGTCAGGAAACTGCTTACAATGTTTTTTCAAAAATATTGCTGTTCAGCAAAGAGAAGAATTCGAGCTGTGTGACTGTCTGAAACCTATCTCTTAGTTGAACTAAAATGTTATCCAAGATTTCATTGAACAGAGCTCTGCAGCCTGCTTCTTCTAACTGCTCACTTCTGGGTCTTTTATTTGGGTTTTCATCACTTCTTACTGGAACACTTTCCTGAAAAATCCTGTCGAAGTCGTCTTCACGAATATTCTTAATTTTCCAATCAGCTCTTCAACCTTTTTGGAGCAGTAGGCAATGTCCATTCCTTTTGTTTGAAGAATGTCGAAAAGAACATCCGTGAAAGAAAACACCGAGGAAAAAACATTCAACAGGAAGCGAGTCTGGAATTTCTGGAGGAAAGACAAAAATCCTTGGCCCTTTAAAACACAGTCATCATCCCACTCTGCAGATTGATCAAATATGTGATGGAAAAATGAGGTCAATTGGTCATCATATTCTTTCACGGTGTTGACCAGTCTTGAAGAAAAATTCCATCTTCTAGGCGCTACTCTGGGTAGTTGTTTCTCAAGAAAAGCTTGAAGGGCAAATGTTCTCTTTGAAGACTTTGAGAAAAATGCTGCTAAACATGAAAGTGTCTGAAAAAAATTTCTACATTTCGAGATGTTTTTGCCGATTGCTGAAGCGTCAGATTTAGCAAATGGCTGTAATAGTGCACAAATATAGCACACGGGTGCAGTTCCTGTACCTTATTATTTAAACCGTTTTGTTGACCAGCCATAGCAGCGCCGTCGTATGCTTGAGCAACAAGAGATGCTATGCAGTGCTAGATCTTGCATGGCACCCATAAGCTCTTAATTGTAAATTATTTTTATACCTGTACTTGGTTGTTTTGGAAAACATGGAAGGTATAGAATTTAAATAGTCTATGATGTGATAAATGGGGTGAAAGTTATTGGAAGTGAAAAGAGAATTCAAGGGTCTGTGTGATGACATACTGATACAAAACAGGAACAACAATGGATAAATGATTATAAAATCACATTTCTAGCAGGATAAAAATCCACAAGGCTTAATAAAATTTGGCTTTTAAGTTACAACCAATATACAGTATGTATTAATTTTCCAAATTTTAATAGAGAAAAACACTTACACTCATTGAAGTGTATGGTCTCACTTCTGTTGGCGTCAAGACCCTCATTCCTCTGCAATATGAAATTTTTAAATCATTAAAGACTATACCATGATCAGCAAGAAATAGGAAACTACACGAGGAAGATAGGTAAAAAAAGATCTTGATTTGTATGAGAAATACCAGAGCCAAAATCCTATCACCCATCAAGCTTCTTTTTTACTCTATATTTCATCTTGATCCCAGCAGTTAAATGTGACAATTAACAAATTAACCCATTAAGGATGTTGACACACTGATAATGTCATGAATGAGGGACTTCTCCTGGCCTACTGCTTTATAAACCAGCTTATTGATAATGATATGTGAATATGTCCACCGAAGGGAAGCCCAGGGCAAAAATCAAAAGATTGGCATTCTCTCCCACAAAAACTTCAGGGTCTTAAAAAGGTTAAGAATGAAACAGCATTTCTGGGAATTAGCAAATCAGCTGCCACACACTGCATGTACTATCCATTTATCCATTTATGGTAACTGAGGCCCAGTCATAACTGTAATCACATGATCAACACTCCTATCCAGCCAACCCCAGTGAAGTATCATAGAACGGACAGATATCAAGCTGTTATACTCAGGCTCAGTTACAATCAATGATTTTAGGATCAATCCCAATTTTGTATCCTAATCCTATACAGTCAACCCTCACTTTACGCGGTCCCACATTCCGCGTTTCCACGTTTACGCGGTGCCCACCGGAACCCAGGATGCTCACATTCCGCGGTGTGTGTACCCCTTTACACGGGTGAAGTATAATTTTATATTACAATAATATTCTATCCTAATTCACTTGTGATGCAACAGTTTTTTTAACTGAAAACCATTCGAAAAGCGATTACAGTAACATCTTTTGAACGAAAGAAAGCGAAAGTCATTGTTTTCGTCACGATTTTATCCCACTTTCCACTGTAATATGTACGTCATTTCAGCAAAAATATTACACTTCCGTGAATGTAGTATATCAAGCACAGTATGAATAGAATATCATTGTAATATAACAGTATTTTAACCGAAAACTATTAAAAAAACGAGTAACATCTCTTGAACATTGGAAGGTGAGGTAAAGTCTTTTGTTTTCGTCATGTATTTTATCCTATTTTACATTGAAATACATCACGTTTCAGCAAAACTACTATTTATTTCTGAGAATATATTCATTCAGGCACAGTTTAGGTAAAATATACATGTGCTGTAACATTTTTTTAATTGAAAACGAATCGAAAAACACGTACCCTCTAGCCCTGTTCAAGGACAAGACTGGGAGGAGCTGTTTGGTGCTTAAGATGATGACAAGGAAAATGATTTTGATGGATTTTAATGAAAATATTCAGAAAGACCCTGGCACTGTCAAGGAAAGTGGCTGCTGAAGGCTTCCAGGACATGGCAGAGGAAGAGATTAGGGAGCTAATTGAAGAGCACGACACTGAGCTGACCGAGGAGGATCTACAGGAGTTAGTAGACTCAGGCAAGGAAGAGGAAGCGAAAGGGATAGAGGATGAGGAAGAGGAAGAGCACCAAGAAATAATGTTGGAGAAGTTGGGGTAGATGACCAGGAATATTGAGGCACTAAAAAACCTGGCCTATAGTATGGACCCCTCCATGGTGCGTGCCCTGAATTTCATGCAAGGGATGGATGACGGTTTTGCTCCATACAAAAACATCATGGAAGAAATGAAAAGAAAGAGACGACAACTCCCCATCACCATGTTCTTTGATCACCGAAGGAGAGATTTAACACCATCAATCACTGGCGGCAGTGAGGAAGCAGCTGAATCCACCGTCGCCCCCACTTCACCACCCGTTATGGAATTGAGTGACGATGAGCCCGATGGTCCCCGTCCTGTCGCCGAGGATAGGTACTGTACAGTAAAGTGAAATTTTTATCTCTTTTTTTTAATAGTGTTTCTTGCCATGTTTATTGTTTGTAAAAATGTACAGCACAGTACAGTTCAGTACTGTACATAGGAAGTGGAGGTGCAGTTATTCACAAAACATTTGTGTTTGTTGTCGGCAATAGTGACGGTGAGGAGGTGGAGGGGGCGGAGGAGGGAGCGGAGGGAGCGAGTTGGGAGGAGTGGTGACCTTGGACGCGGAAGGAGGGATGAGTGGAGATGCCAGCCAGTACATTACGGGTGTATTAATTGTTTTTATAGCTATTTTTGCATTTTAATATTAAATACTGTACACTACGTTTCAACGAAACTACCATTTATTTCTGAGAACATGGGAATGTAATATTTTTGCTGAAATGATGTACGTATTACAGTGGAAAGTGGGATAAAATTGTGACGAAAGCAATGACTTTCTCTTTCTTTCGTTATTCAAAAGATGTTACCGTAATCGCTTTTCGAATGGTTTTCAGTTGTGGGATTATAAGGCTAATGATAGGATAGAATATTATTGTAATACAGTACGAGTACAACAGTTTTTTAACTGAAAACCATTCGAAAAGCGATTACGGTAAAATCTTTTGAATAACGTAAGAAAGCGAAAGTCATTGTTTTCGTCATGATTTTATCCCACTTTCCACTGTAATATGTACGTCATTCCAGCAAAAATATTATATTTCCATATTTATTTCTGAGAATATGTATATTCATTCAGTCACAGTTAAGGTAAAATATACTTGTGATGTAATATTTTAATGAAAATACGGTATAGTAGTTTTCTTTTGTTTCAAATTTAATTAACAAAGATTGATGTTTCAAATGTAATGAACAAAAATTTATGTATAGTATCTATAAATAAACTTTAATAAATGAATACTTTATGTTTTACATCGTCCTGTGCTACCATACCATGGATTTGGCTACTTTGGGCTTGCTATGATGACGCAAGAGATCTGCCCTGGCAACTGTACCGACACTCACAGCTGGTGGTGCGTTGGTGCATCATTTCCATTGTTTACTGGTAGTTACTGGTAAATATTTTTCAACCTAACGAAACTATTACCTGTTTAGAGGTCGACCCCCAATTTTTTGCCAAATAATTTGGTCTTAAAAACTCGAACTACACACAGGTATATACGGTAAATAAGGACATGGGGAGCCAGGATTTTTTTTTTTTTTTTTTGGAGAGGGGAGGGGGCAGCAAAAATACGCGGATTTTTAACATCCACAGGTATCTCTGTTACGTAAACCCCGCGTATGTTAAGGGCCGACTGTACAGCAAAATGAGGATACACCTTAATAAAACATGTTAGATATCCTGTGGCAGCCATTAAAATTTTTCAGTAACTTACAAATTCCAAGGGTCCATTGAGGCACTCATAGAACGGTATGTTCTTCTGTGATGTGGCCTTGAACTCAGTGTGGCACTTTCTCGGGCAACAACTTCTTCTAGAACGCGTCTCTGAACTTCGCGTTCAATCAACAGAGCTAATCTGTAAATGTTTATAACAAATGACCTGATAACATTTGGATGTTTTATCAATAGTTTATCTCATATACAATTGTTATTTTGAGCCAATTTCTAGCAAGTATTCCTGCATAGATTTCAAGTTTTCAGCACCTACAATAATATAAGAGAATCCATCTTTAAGTATGATATAACTTCCCAATATGGTGTTACCTTTCATTTAGGATTTTTCTCACACTCAAACATTAGTAGCTGAATAAAATTCAAAGACAAAAACTTATTTGATGTTAATTGTTTTGTGGAGAACCACAATGTATTACCATTTAACTCCCACACGTCACAACCTATTACATCTCCTCAACTCTACACTGATGCTGTCAAGCCTTCTGAATCTAGCTGTGAATCTGAAGACTCCCTCAGATATGTGTCCTGTTCCTTCTGCACAAACTTGAGTGATAGATGGTGGAGGAAAATCATCAGTTTGTACAGCTCTATGAAGGCCTACTTACCACCATCATATGTCTCCTCAATGCCAACCTTACCAGTGCTGTCCAATACTGCTGATGCAGCCCCATTCAGGTCTATCCTGGCAGACCCTGCCCACTTTGTGCCTTCGCACTCTCCAAGTGCTCAACTTTTCCACTCATCGCCAACCACACCCGCTTCAGCCTCGACCTGGACCCCTGCCCTGCTTATAACTTCATAAAAATGGTGAATTTGCCTCCCTATTATATCCTAATTTTACAATCATGTTACCTAACACTTATGCTTCTACTTTTCTCAAATCTTTGGATACAATTATTGGACCAATCCCAAAACTTTTACTTTTCAACTATTCCCTAATCTGTCTCCTCATTTACTTGGGTATAAGCATGTGTAACAGACATTTATCCATTCCCACCTTGCATTTAACTCATACTATTCCTGAGTTTATACTTTTATATTCCCTTATTTGTTCACTTACTCTTAGTTGACAGATGCATACTGCACACTACACTATTCAAACACGTATCCTTCCCAGGAGCCATAAATAATTTCTCTCTCCTGTCTCCCAAACTCTTCCTACTGCATCACTTCTCTCCCATCTCCTTTACTTCTCCTACTGTATCATATTTCTCTCCTGTCTCTGTTACTTCTCCTACTGCATCTTTTCTCTCTCCTGTCTCCCTCACTTCTCTTACTGCATCTTTTCTCTCTCCTGTCTCTCTTACTGTATCTGTTCTCTCTCCTGTCTCCCTTACTTCTCCTACTGCATCTTTTCTCTCTCCTGTCTCCCTTACTTCTCCTACTGCATCTGTTCTCTATCCTGTCTCCCACATTCCTCCAGATGAATCTTTTCAATGGCAATAATTTCTTGGAATCACACTGAAAAACAAAAGTCAAAGGTTTGATTCAAACAGTAAGTTTACCTGTCTTCCTGCAAAAGGGTTGAGTCTAATGGAAGATGTGCAGGTCTCTCAACTCTCTGTCCATTTTCCTCATCTTCCGTTAATCCTTGAGATAGTCCTACACAGCCTTGTGGATCAGCCTTTGTCGCAGATGGTTGATGTATGAGCTGATCTTCTAGGTTACTATAATGATGCTTTAGGGCTTCAAGCTCACGAATCTGAAATGTAATAGTTATATTCCATATATACAATATAATGAAGAGATCAGCTGCATCCCTATCCTCAGGTAAGAATGGGATTAGAAGCCTAAAACATTTGGTGTTAAGACAAAAATTACATATACACTCAGAAATACACATTCATTTCATTGTGATGAATGCCTTGACAAAGTGATTAGAGTACCAGCTATGTATTCTCGTAATATTTATAAATGAAACAATTAAAAATTCTTGAGCAACCACATGGTTATCAACCTGATAATACATATATGTTTTTTGAATACAAAGTAACATTTGGAAGACCAATGTAAGGTGAGTGAACTACTTTATTGTATACAGAATATTTTTTTTTATGGTGCCATCTTCAAAACACTGAGGTTAGTTAAAGGAGCATTTTATCTTATCTTATTTTCAATGTCTCACTCCCCATGGGATCTCCCCTCTGAGGATAATGACCATGACACAGGCCCCCCATGCTATATCTTCTTTTATCCTCTCTATCCCTATTATCCCCTTTCCCTCTCTCTTTAATTTATGATATTACATTTCTCTGCTATAATGTACGATGTTCTCTGTCTAACCAAAGTACCTGCTACCATAACACTGTACAAGATCTCAAAAAAGTAAGTGTCTGTCCATAACACAAAAATCAATACCTTTTTTTTTTTAAACAAAGCAATGCACAAAGAAAGGTTCACATTGCAGTTTGTCTTCTGAAGAACAATGACTGAGAAGTGACCCATTCTCAAGATATGCTTCCCCAGTACATTGTGAGTACGAAAAACAAAGTTTAGCATTTCTTGTTCAGTTAAAACCTCCTTAGAAATCATATCCAGTGAAAGCAAAACATAATAAAATGTTTATGTGTACAGTGCAGTAGAATTAGTGTTGGTGTGACACTGAAATTAAAATCATATGTCTTGCTTGGGCCTCTTAAGTCTTGCACTGCATCATAAATAGTGGTGCAATTTCTTGGTAAGTTTCAATCACTATGATTTCTTCTAAGTATAGAATTATTATTGTAATGTATGCATTTTGCTTATTATGTTTTTATTGACATATAATCATTATGTACACTAGAAAATTAATTAAAATCACGTTTTGTAGCATTTTAAGACTTTTGAAAATATTTTTTTGTTGGAAAATATCTCGGTTTTTATAATGAAAGTCAGTGGGAAAATGGGATCCAATTTTAGAAAAAATAATTTAGGAATGGAACCCTTTTGTAAATTGGGAACTGCCTGCCCTGTACCCTATAATCTGGGCAAAATGATCAAAGCACCCAAATTGAGGACCCTGAGATTCTGAAACATACCAGACTTAGGGGAGAATTCCTGCCAAAAGAGAAAGTGTGAATGCAGAGCAAGATGAAGGAGCACCAACCCAACACTCCTAGTTCAGTTTCCTTTGGCCAAGTCCTTAGAAATGTACCAGTCATGAGCATTAGTGTCCCCTTTGTCTCTCTCAACACTTTTTTACTGATTAAAAATAAGTGGGGGTTCTTAGAATTTACAAGCATCATGACTGACTGAAGCTGGTGTGCCTCTTGATGAGGGACTCTCTCTGCCAACTCCTACGATATTTAAAGATTTTGGACTTCCCATTTCCACTTTCACTGCCAGAGGTTAATATGATAACATAATTGAGTGGTCTCCTGGACTTGCACATGATTATGACACTTTTCCTTTCCATCCTTCACTCTCACCTTGAAAGACTGTACATATAACTGGCACACAATCCAAAAGCTACTGGAACATAACTTCTACAGATATTAAGGGTTGACTGTAGTTATATATGTGTACAGTATATGCATCTCTTACTATTGACAACACAACATACATACATTGTTTCTCACTTTTGACCGTTTTTTATTTTTGTACTACTTATGGTTCTTTATTATTATCATTATTATCATTATTATTATTATTATTATTATTATTATTATTATTATTATTATCATCAATATTATTGTTATTATTATAAAAAAATTTGCCCCCCAGGCCCAGATGTGGGTCAGTGACCTGTGCCTGGGTATGTTAATCCCCATAAAAAAAAAAAAAAAAAAAAAAACATTTCATGCGGTTTTAACCCAATACAGGTGACCTCTAAATAATACATTTTTCTATTAATTTCATTAAAAAGCAACTACAAAAATAAATCCTTACCTTCTCAGTGATGCTGATATTAGAATTGTCGCTATTCTCCCGCAATCTCAAAAGCACCTCATTTGCTCTTTCAACTTCAGTTTCTGGTGGTATTAGTGCACTTCCTTCACTCCTTTCCACGCCAGAGTACCACGTTGAAGATGCTTCTGTTTCATTACTTGGCATGCCATTATCTCCTACACTAGTTGCTGGACATCTGCTGACATTATTTTTTTCAGTTTCATGCTCCTGAGGTTTACTGCCTTCCATGTTCCCATTACCAGAAGAACTATTATTGTTATCTGACTTAAAATTATTATTATCTATTTCAGAAGGGCATGTATCTGGGTTTCTTGAAGTGTTAATAGATGAAGCACAGTTCAATTCAGGGGCAAATTCATTTACAGTCACCTTGCACAAGTAAGAACTGGAGTATTCTCTTTTGTCTTCATCATCTAAATTAGTGTTAATATTTTGAAAGCCTATTCTAAGCTCATGTGCACCTCCTTTTTTAATTGGTGTAGACGTAGCCTCTAAACTTACTGCAGGTGACCTTTGTGGCTGGAGAGGATCACCGACTTGAAGGATGGGTGATGTAAGAAGAGCAGCAATATCAACAGTATTAGATGCACCTTCAAACTCACTGTTATTTTCAGGAGATAAAAGCTTTTGACCTGGATGGCTGACATCCTTATCATGAGCTTGAAAGGCCTCAGAAACACATCCAGCATCACTGGCACTAGGAGATTTGTACACAGATGCACACATATCAATATCATCTCTCTCAAAATGTGATACATCATAAGCTTTTGCATCTTCTTCTTTAGGCACTTTGGAAGCAATGTCATTTCTTTCATCAACAAAGGCACCATGAGCACCTTTGCTTAAACTATCTTTATCCTTTTCAGTTCCTGAGTGAGGCACATCAAGAGGTAGTGGAGACAGGGGTGAAGTCAGGTCACGAGGGTCAGGGGAGAGAACAGAGGTAGCAGTATAAAATGTATCTGATGCAGGAGTGGAATTGACTGAATTTGAATCGGCAGCAGAGTCTTCTTTCTCTCCTACCAATGGTAGCGTTAAGCTAGAAAATATATAAAGATATCAATACCTCAGAGGACACAGTGCTATTCTTAAACTTCAATATTAAAAAAAAAAAAAAAAAAATCAATTTGATAATATACAGTACTCATCTCAAACATAGGTGATTAAACATGATCACAAAGACTACAAAATATTTCTGTACAAAAATCTAGAATGTAAATTCCTTTGACCAACAACTGATGAATTATTCACTGATAATTCTATTTATGTGCGTTTAAGATCTACTACATTTCGAAAAAGAAACCACAGAGTCTATCTGTCAATATAAGACTGAAGAACATTAACTAAATCTAAGTTTTCGAATCTCCATTGAGAATCTGCTGTACAAAATTAAACCCAAATCATGACCTATAGAGGTATGACTGTGCCATGGATGCTCCAGTTCTCTTTTTCTGCCTGTTGCTGCTGTTGCTGATATGGGACTGGTACCTGACTGCAAGATCAATCAATGAAGCAGAGTACTGACTTCATATCTGAGGGTTGGAGACCACAGTCCTTCACTCTAAATGTTCTCGGGCTGTTTTTACCAATCCTCTAAGGAAGGGATTCCCAAGCATTTTCCAGTGCAACCCCGTCTAGTACTGTCGCCTATTCAGTGTGAACCCAAGTCATTACATCCAGTCTACTGTATATATGAAGATCCTTAAAGTAAATACAGACATATTGATATACTGTACATACTTAACTGTAAAAACAAGTAAGGAAAATGTATTACAAATTGAGAAGCCCAAAAGTAAACACTGTCAGAAACAGGCTACAACTTGGTCATGTTTATGTGACATTATATGACCATTTAACAATCTATACGTGGGGATATAATTACAAGGTTAAGCAACACAATATACAATTTTCTTAGTTACATCTCTGTCATACTGTACGGATTTTGTATGTGACTTGTGTGCATCACCAGATAACTAATTTTCATTACAAGTTACATCAGCCATTATTCATATGCAACATGTGTGTACAGGTTGACAACCCTTTATCCGAAATTCCGAAAACCGAAAAGCTCTGAAAACCTAAAGTTTTTTTTTGTGGGGCATTTTTTTTTTTTAAAACAGGAATTAGCCCACCAGGGCATAGATCACTGACCCACATCGGAGCCTGGGGGGCGAAAATGTAATAGAAATAATAATTATAATAACAATAATGACTCATAGTAAATAAAAATTTTATTAAAAATACACCAAAATAAAATAATAATGATAACAATAATAATAATAATAAAAAATATAATAAAAATTAATAATAATAATAATAACAATAATACTGTAACAAAATAATAATAATAAAGAAATACAAGAATGAAAAAAGATCAAAAGTGAGAAACACGACCTAGACCTATGAATTATTATTATTAATTATTATTATTATAATTTTTATTCTATTTTTGCCCCCCAGGCCCCAATGTGGGTCAGTGACTTGTGCCCGGATGGGCTAAAAAAATAAAAAAATAAAAAAATAAAATAAAAAAAAAATTCTGAAAACCGAAAAATTCCAAAATCCGAAATGTCTCTGGCCCCAAGGATCTCGGATAAGGGATTGTCAACCTGTATTATCATTTAATAAATTTTCTGTTAACTGGGGGTATAATTATGTGTTAAAACAACAAAGCACACAATTCTCTAAGTTTAGTTTTGATATACGGTTACAGTGATAATTTTTTATAAATACTGTACCATTGACGAGAAAGCTGCCTCACAGACTTCCAAATTATATCAGATCCTTAATAGCTCGATTTTTAACCCCTTAATGTCAATTTGATAAATAACCCAAAACATTGATATGTCATCATAGATGGCAAAATCACCCTTGCCTCAGTGTCAGCCTGCTATTTCTAGGACAAAAAGAGCCACAATGTTTTACATCTGTTTGAACAGAAACTGAACAAAATCCAAAGATTCAGTAAGCAACCCAAGGAATCTATCATTGATATCTGCTGCCATTTTTTGTCTGCATCCATGGGAAGTACAGAGTGCATTGAGCTGAGAACAATTCAAAGGTAGGAGTGTGAATTTTCTACAGCATAATGTGTCATCAGCATTCGCCTTACCTGGACTGACTTGACTTCATACAAGAAGAGTAACTGCCATTATTCCCTTGACCATAATTTGTGGTCCCGACTTAACGAGACAGCACCTGTCAGCCACGTCCTTCAGTCCTTGACACCTGGACTATGAGCTTAATGGGACCCCATCGACTCCATGACCTCTGTGCCATCCCTTATGATGCAATTTAGGGGAATTTTAGGAGTATTTCTGACTTTACTTTGTATGTACTTTTATGTGAGCTGGAACCAATTTCCCAAATAATGGATTCGGTTAACGAACGACTCTGTGGAACGAATTGTGTTCATCAACTGAGGGACCCATGCTCGCACGCACGCACGCATGCACGCACACAGTATAATCTGGGTTTACGCGGTCAATTAAACCCATGGAGGTCCGCGTATAACGCAAAACGCGAAAATAAAATAACAGAACATATGGGATTAATTGAAATAGAGACTGGGCAGACCACCAGACTACCCTTTTTCCGACACAATACGTACGTTGTAGTAAAATTAACATCTTAATTTTATGATGGTATGCACACAATTAATATTTAAGAGAAATATCAATAATATTAGGTTTTTTAACACTTTCGTTAGCAGAAGAGATGGCTGGGCAGATGGGGATGGGGGGGGGTTGGTTCCAAGACAGAGGGCAGATTATTGGCCCTCATCTGTATCACCTGTATCAATATCCACCACATGAGGCTAACGGGGCCTCCTTGTCAAACCCCTCAAAGTCCATATCCTCACTATCACTGGGCAGGCAAGGTTAAATAGACCAATCACAGCGTGCGGCGGAGGGGGTGCGTGGGTGGTAAGGATACGTGGCCCAATCACAGTCCGCGAAGTCATCGGCAGGAGTCTGACGTCAGCGACCAGCCGCTTGCCATGTAAATTAAGGAATGTACCGCGTAACTAATAATTGGCGCGTCTGGACAGGTGCCGCGCAAATGGCCAAACGCGTATAAAATATCCGCGTAAACCCAGACTATACTGTGTGTGTGTGTTATATTTCACACAAAGCCTGTTCATTGAGCTGATGGCGCCGTGGACCTCATTGGGAACTGCCCGTGCTTCGTATGTGGTGTCAGTAGAGTTTTACCGAATCCAGCTGGTATGAAACACGAGGTACCATATATATACAGTGCTTCATTTTTAGTCCATATAACACGCGGACTTTGAACATATAATCAACGACCTCACCAGCCAGGAATCAAACCCTCGACCTACTGGGTGGGACTAGGGAACGCTACCGACCAACCCACGGCCCCATCAGCTTGATGAACAGGCTTTGTGTGAAATATAACAGAGTCTAGGACTGCTTTTAGTGTCCTTGTGGGTTGGTCGGTAGCATTCCCTAGTCCCACCCAGTAGGTCGAGGGTTCGATTCCTGGCTGGTGAGGTCGTTGATTATATGTTCAAAGTCCGCGTGTTATATGGACTAAAAATGAAGCACTGTATATATATGGTACCTCGTGTTTCATACCAGCTGGATTCGGTAAAACTCTACTGACACCACATACGAAGCACGGGCAGTTCCCAATGAGGTCCACGGCGCCATCAGCTCAATGAACAGGCTTTGTGTGAAATATAACAGAGTCTAGGACTGCTTTAGTGTCCTTGTGGGTTGGTCGGTAGCTAAGGTGCTCCGTTGTTTCCCTTTTCCCGTGTGATTTTATCAAGATATATATATAAATGAACATCCTTACCTGGACTTTCTTAGTGCATGGTTAGCAATACAGTCTTCAAGATGGCTTCCAACAGGAGTGGTGGGTTGACTGTGAGTATGGAGACTTGTTTGTGTTGAAATTTCACAAAGATCTGTTGTCTCTGTTAACCTCGACATCTGATTTAAAAAAGGCCATAGTCAATCAGTGGTACAGATAAATATTACAACATGATTTAAACTGACAGTCCAATACAAGAATACCTAACTATTCGCAACCCTGCTTATCTGCAACTGTTATTTTAACATACCTATTCGAAACATTTTTTTTTTTTCATAAAAGAATTGAGCTTTTGTGAGTGAAGTGAGCACTGTATCTTTGAAAATGTCTGGCAAGCATTTTGTTCACCATATATGAGGCCAGGATGAAGGCCACACCACCAGTTCCCACTCTTCAGACTCCCCATTGTCTGTGTGGGACTCAGGTTAATGTCTCCACTCCACCTTAAGAACCCCTTTAGCCTCAAAAGGGACATATGGTAGTGACCAGACATGTTTTTAATGATGTGGTAATATATTTTATTTATTTATTTTTATTTATTCCGGGATTAGCCCATCAGAGCACAGGTCAATGACCCATATCAGGGCCCGGGGGTGAAAATATTATAATAATAATAATAATAATAATAATAATAATAATAATAATAATAATAATAATAATAATAATAATAATAATAATAATAATAATAATAATAATAAATAAATAAATAAATAAATAAAGTACAAAAAAAAAATCAAATGTGTGTAATGCTGCAGAAAGTTAGATCAACAACCTGGGACTCGGTCACAATTTTTGTGATGCCATATGACAGCAGGGTCTACCATTAGACAACACACTGTGATTCCAATATCTTCCCAAGCGGTAGTACCTCCCTGTTTAATTGTATTGTACTGAGAGTAGATTTGTAGGAATTAATTTTTTCGGGGATTCCCAATAATATCTCCATAAGCTGGAATCCCTTTAGAACGGAAAATTTCTCGGAAAATCATTCCCTAAGTCTGGTTTTGGGAAAATTTTTTTGAGGGGGCACATTTTCTGGAATATTCTGAGAAAATTTTCCAAGTACCCGGAAAAATCCAGGGATGGCGGAGATTTTTCCGGGTTTGAGAGATGAAAATCAGATGCATTTTCCGGAACTTCCAAGAACAATTTTCCATTACCTGGAAAATTCTGGAAAATTCCAGAATGAGGGATTTTTTCCGGCTTTGAGAGAATCGTCTTGTTACCTGGAAATCTCTCATTCCCGGAAGTACTCTGCAACAATTGGTCCGGTTAACGGAGATATCACTTGTACTTGTGGGTGTCCAACCGGCCAAGAACCTATCCCATTGGACATCTGTATCATCTTTAATGGTTTTCTACAAAACTTCTGTGGCTAGTCTACCTTTCGCCATTTTCTCAGATAGCCAAGCATCCAAGCAAGGTACAGTATGTATTCCTTTAAAGCTCATTGGGGTTAGGTAAAATGGACCTCGTGAGAAAGCAAAATCAGTGAGTTTTTCATGCCAGTCCAAGGAGTGTGAAAAATATAGATATAAATAGCTATATGCACATGTATAACAACATTATGTATGCAGAAGACAAAATAACATAAATAAATAAACATAAACATGAAATAACACTGCATGGACATTAGGTCCACAAAGTGATAGTTAGTTGTGGTAGTGAGAAACATGATAGCATATAGCCAGTGATTTGGCTTTGCCAGTACAGTAGGCTATTAGATCTGAAAAAAATTATTTTTCCCAAAATATACAGTATAATGTCGATTTAAAGCGATTCAATTTAAGATTATTGATTTAAAGCGACACCCACAATTAAGGACAATGTTTTAATTTAAAGCGAATCTTTCCTATTTTGCGCGAGTCAATCTGGTGCATCATATTTTAAAATTCGCGCCTAATGTTTCTCTGGGCACGCTACACTGTCCTAAGGGCAAAGCTGTACTGTACATGTACTCAAAATAATGTACTAAATGATTACTAAAATTTTTGTCTAGTGCAAACTACAGGGGGTATAGCATGATTATATTCAAATTATTCAATCTTATAAGAATTCCAGCAATGTAAATTATATTCTCCCCGGTCACTTCTGTGACATTTTATAAACAAAAACTCAATCTAAAGGACATAAATAAACAAATAAATACTTCACTAGACCTTCTGCACAACTGTCAAACATGTCACCTCCCCTTCCTCCCTCCACCCCGTCATCTTCCCAGCCAGGGTTTGGTGGTTATAGGCTTACAGTTTTTATCTTATATAATAACACAGACTAAAGTTAGGAGAATATAATTTGCTTTGCTGGAATCCTTGCAAGACAGTGAATAATTTGAATATAAACATCATATATTTTGCATAAGAGATAAAAATTTTTGCCATTTGTAAAAAAGTTTCCTAATTAAAACTAAAATTTGTATGTCTAATGCAAACTATAGCATGTTTATATTCAAATTAATCACTTATCTTATAAGAATTCCAACAATGTAAATTATAAACATTTTATAAACAAAAAAACAAAAATTCAATCAAAAGGACATAAATAAATAAATAAATACTTCACTAAACCCTCAGCCCAAACTGTCAAACTTGTCACTTCCCCCCCCCCTTCTTCCCAGCTAGGGTTGGGTGGTTATAAACTTACAGGTTTTATCTTATGTAATATCACAGACTAAAGTTAGAATATAATTTCCATTGTTAGAATCCTTGCAAGACAGCGAATAATTTGAATATAAACGTCATATATTTTGCACAAGAGATAATTTTTTTTAGCCCTTTGTAATAAAATTAATTAGAACATGTCAGTTCAGTAACATTTTATAAGAGAAAAACTTAAAGTCACTCTTAAGAACAGATAAATAAATAAGCACTAGACCTTGGCATCAACTGTCAAACATATCACCTCACCCCTCCCCCCCCCCATCAACTGATCGCTAGTAAACAGACCATTTCATGTCCCATAATTTTAGCTGTGTTGATTTTTGAGTGTTTGTTTTAATATAATACTACAAAAAACAATGTTTTGTTTATTCTAGATGTGGTACAGCTGTACTGAGCCAGCGCCAAGCTGCCAAAAGCATACAAAAGAATGAGGAGCAATTTACTTTTTCCCACAGATGTAATGTTTCTTTCTTATCTCTATTTTCTATTTATTGTTTAATTACTCTTAATTCTTTCTCTATTTTTCTTCTTTTTATTTCTTTACATGATTTCTCTTACCATATCTCTTAACTTCTTATTCTTGTCCTTATTTACAGAGGGTATAGGAGGCAGAAGGTGGAGGAGACAGTGGACAGGGTGGTGAGTGTGAGGGAAAGAATTGAGTGAGAAGTAGGTGGGGGTTGCTGTGGTCAGTTTACCCCCAAGGGTTGGTTGAGGGAAAAAAAATAGGTGAATAAGAATAATAGATAAATGAGAATAAGAGGAATCTGGGATATGGCATATAAAATTCCTTACAGTGATAAGTCTAGGATAAAAATTGTGTTCGGATAGTTAGAACAAATACTGGAAACAAAATAATGTATACTATAGTAAATTAAAAAAAAAAAACTGTACCACTATACTGTATATTCTGTACTCACCAGCAGATGCTGTCATCTTGGGCATACAGTAGGCAGACACTGTCTACTGCTGAATGTACTTTGTAACTGTCATCACTTGTGATGGAGGTGTGGTAGGGGATTAGTGGGTTTCATGTTACTGACCTGACCTGATGCAATGTCAAGTCACGCAATGTCTATAAGCTCTACTCTCATTTGCGGTGGAGGTGGGGTGAGGGATTAGTGGCCCCATATTACTGATCTTCTGATGCAATGTCAGGTTACCCTTTTGTCAGGGGGCAGGGGATAAGTGGATCTCCTGACCTGAAGACATCTTGAATAAAGATGAAAGCTAAGGTGCTCCAGTGTTTCCTACTCACTGAATGTACAGTACAGTACAGTGCAGTATACATAATTGTAATCGTTTTTTTATGTTCCAATACTGCTTTAACACTGTATTCTTGGCAGATTGTAAATTGGCACAGTAACGTGCAGTACTGCACAACACAAATTGTATGTAAAAACAGCAGCTAGTGAGCAAAGATCCTTCTACAATGGCAGCAGAATATGAACTAAATGATCCAAGCAGTTAGGCCACCCATGTGACTGGCATGTTTGAGCATGATACACTCTCTGGGATCTCCTGGAAATTTTATCCGAGGCCCAGATTGGAGAAGTTTGGAGAGATTTTCTCGGAACCTTCTCTGAATTTTTTCTGGATAATGCGTCTGATTTTATCCTCAGAAACACGTTTACTGACCCAGAATGGAGAGAGTTTTCCTGGAAAATTTCCAGCCCGATTTCAATTCCAGCTATTGGAGAGTTCCGGGGATCAGGGATTCCAGCTAATGGGGAGATTACTGCATGAGAAGTAAACATGTGTGGGGGCAGGGGACTGTAACTGCATTGCCACCCAGCCAGCCAAGCCGCTCCCTTCTTAATGTGATGTCATGGCGCACACACATTGCAGAGCGGCAGCAACCATACATATCTAAGTCAGCTGGGTGACTGCCCGGTTGAACTGTGTCACATTGCCCAGAGGATAGTTTGAGTGTGGAAGGTGCTATAATTTGTAAATGAAATAATGTGCTATTTATTTTATGATATTCTGTACATAAAATTTACTGTTATCATAGCAATTTTCTTTAATACTTGATGTATGCAGTAGGAAATTTGTTTGAATTAGGTTTACCTTGTACTCAGAAAATAACTCAACTCTGAACCACATTGTTTATACAGAGGTTTGGTGTTAATAAATCAATCGTATAACTTCAACACTCTCTATAACAAACTTGTTTATTATTATTATCGGGGAGTACAGTACCGTATTGAGTGTTTAACACCCTGCCGTTTGAACCTGTTGTTTGCCCTCGTGATTTGCTGTCATCCCTGGCTTAGCAGATAATTTTGCTTAACATTAAACAAGGGATACCTGTACAGCACACTAAATACTAAGCCTTCAGTAAGCAAGTAGGCAATATTGCCAGCAGCACACTTAAGCACTTTTACTTCCCAAGCTTTTATTGTTAAGTATACATTTATAGCTGGGTGGATTATGAGTGCCCCAAACTTGAAAGAATGACCATAAGGACAGGTGAGGACTGTATTCACTCAACCAACACACTCATATCATCAAACATACATTCATGGTCTACACTATCTCCTTTATAAAGCAGTTCTTGCAAAATGGAACAGTGTTATCTGGATACAGGAACATTAAATAATTCTTATATTTTCCATAATTTTTTAATATTATGCCTTTGTATATAATACTTACCATAATATCCCTTAAATCTATATTATGAATATAAAACAACCTGACAGATATAACATGACCTTCTCTCATCAACAGCACTGCAACCCACTCACTCATTCCTCCAACTGCCCTCACTTGAGCCCTTAGCTCTCTGTAAAATTTCTTCACTGTCTTTTTGATATTCCCTTTTATTCCATATACTTATAGTATTTCAAATTAGGTACATACTTTTCACATCTCCATAGCAGAGTAAAGTACAGGTAGTCCCCAACTTACAACAGGGATATGTTCCTGGACCCTGATTTGTTGGTAAGTCAGAACAGTGTTGATTCCATACGTTAGGTTAGACTATAGCACAACCCTGCCTTACAAAACAACAATAATATCCTATACCAATAGAATGTCGATATAACACAAGATACGTTCCAAGAGAGGTCGCTTTAAACCGAATTTGCAGTAAATCGAAGTGTTGTTTCAATGAAATAATTTAGTTTGGTACTTTAGAGAAACACAAAATACTAAAAAGACTGAGAGTCTACCCAGATGCACCTCAGCCCTCTCCTAGAATAAACAAAACATTGCTTTTTGTAGAATTATGTTAAAACAAACTCTCATAAATCAACACCGCTAAAATTACGGGACAAGGAATGGTCTGTTTACTAGTGATCAGCTGATGTGAGAGGGTGGTCGCACTGGTGCCACTCACCACCCGCCTGACTCACCAAACACTCACTTTCCTCTCAATTGATCCTAGGTATGTTAATGCCTAGCAATAACTCACCAGGCCAACATACAGGCAATTAAAACATCTAATAATTACTTAATAAGTAATATTAGGAGGAGACGTCGCTAGGCATTTAATTGCAATTCTCAAAACCCCCAAAAGAAATTTTATACATATAAATTACTTAAAAATCAGACTCAGACTGCTGCTTTAGAAATACTGCACATTCAACATTTCAACACTACTATGTCACAGGTAAACAATAATACAAACCTTAGATATCCTAGAAGTACTGCTGCTATCGGAATGAATTTTCTCTATATCACTGTCCATCCTAAGTAGAAAAAAAAATTGTTTTAATCTTATTTATTTTTGTAAATCATGAATGCTTCTTAAAGTGTGTTTGTAAAAATGCCTTTATATTATATACAATAAATATACTGTAAGTGTATTAGTCAATCTGATTGAGATGTCAACCCCAACATTTCACCAAAAAATCCTAGTGGAGCATTTGAGAATTTGGGTCAATACATTAATGTACTATTTTTAGATTGTGGAGCCCTCTCCTTGGAAGGCTTGCCACCACACTTAGCAACAATGTAACGACAATTATCTTATACTGTACAGCATGCCCTGACAATTCGCGGACCTCAATTATTTGTGGATGACACCCTGGATGTACCCAAGAATGTCTAAGGGTAGTTTTAAAGTTGCTGGCATTTTTGTGGCCGGGACAGGGAGCCATTCATTGTAGAGACAGTAATTTCTTTTACCTGTATTGTATATATGTATGTATGTGTGTGTGTGTGTGTGTGTGTGTTTCTTTACTGAAAAAGTCTCAAAAACAAACCAAATTGACCCATGAACTCTCTACCTGTACCTGGGTGACCAGCACAATAAACAACAATAATTCTAATAACATGGTGGTTAATATTTATTAATGCCTCCATAAATTCAAAGGAGGAAAAAGTCATTACTAATCAGTCAAATGTTGTGAAGGACTACAGAATAGATCAGCGCCACTCTGCCACCCGGAGCTCCTGCAGAAGTCTGGGAACATGAACAAGAGAATGTGACTTGAGAAGAGCACTATGAACACTGTTGATGTCTGATACATACAACCACACTTCAGTTATGCTGAGGATATTCCAATATCTAAACCACCAGTCACAATTATGATGCTTAATATTATTTGTTTGTAAGGACACAGATATCTGTGGTTGAAGCCTTCCACTGTTACTTCTTTTTAACATCCAAAACCCATACAGAAACCTCAGGGGTGGAAAATGAATTAAGATAGTTAAGATAGATAGCAATTACAGACAATATCATCAAAAGGAAAGTAACCAGCTTCAAAGAATTCAAAGCCCTTGAAATGGACAGAGCACAGACCAAGGTGATAAAGGAGGTGGCCAACGAGATTTGCACCCCACTAGGACTATTATTCAGGAAATCCTTGGATTTAGGTAAACCACCTAGGGACTGGAAATTAGCCATCATCACCCCAGTATAAAAGAAGGGTAGGAAAAATGTAGCAGAAAGCTACATGCCTATCAGCCTAACATCACATATATGGAAGCTCTTTGCAAAAATTCTGAGGGACACCATCATCCAACACCTGACCAAACACAGTCTTACCAATGCATCACAACACAGTTTCATGGGGGAAAACAAAAATCCTGTCTGACAAACTTACTCATGTTCCTTGAAACAGAAACAGAATTGTGGACCAAGGCTCACCAATGGCTGTGTTGTGCATGGATTTCTCCAAGGTATTTGATAAAGGGCCATATTCTTATTCCTTTCATCTACTTGTTCAACAGTCTCATCATTGTACTGACGTATTCCAATTAACAGACAGTATACGCATTTGTTGCAAAGTTTTGGCCCCTCCCATGCATTTGCTGGCTTACAATGAATACACATAATTATATTAAACAATGTGTTGAGGTTTAAGCAGGAGATATATAACACTATTTATAAAAATAATTATAAGTAAATATTATCGCAGTAAGATGCCCAAATGAGCAGCAACATTGGATAATTAAAAATCATATACTGTATTGTATATGGTAGAGCGTGAGTCAGAATTTTGACGACAGCAGCCATCTATTCCCTCATTTGAAGAGGTTAATGCTACAACTGTTATACAGTAATATCTCTGTTAGCTGGAATCGCTGTTAGCAGGAACTCTTTAATTCTCAGAATTGAAATTGGCTTAGAATTATTCCGGAAAAAATCTCTCAATTCTGGGTCTGTGAATGAGTTTCTGAGGTTGAGAATGAGCATCCACCAGTAGACTTGGGATTGGTGAGGACCTGATCACTCTCCTATTATATCAGGCTGCGGCCATGAGTGAAAATATTTACAGGTAGCAAAAAAGTTTATAATCTTATATCCGTGGCATCTGTTCTAATTGTGTCAGAAAGATTAATTTGATACCATAATGATCCTGAATAAATTTTCTCCATGATCGATAAAAAAGGGTCATAAAAAATATTTCTACAAGATATAATTATGGGAACTTGATTCTTTTATGAAAACACGTAAGAAATGTTTGTACTCTACCGGAGAATATAAAATCAGTTCTATTAAGTTAGAAACACTATTTATTTACCGACCCTCGATTAACCGACTTTCGGATTAACCGTCAATCCCGAACCCCTATTTTTTTTTTTTTTTTACGGGGATTAGCCCACCCGGGCACAGGTCACTGACCCACATCGGGGCCTGGGGGGCGATAATGTAATAATATTAATAATGATAATGCTAATAATAATAATAATAGTAATAAAGAACCATAAAGAAATGCAAAAATGAAAAAAAATCAAGGGTGAGAAACAATGTACCTGTATGTATATTGTGTTGTCAATAGTAAGAGAAACAATTGAGACCCTGCAATTGTGTGTAAATGAGGCAGAAAGTCAGATTAGCAACATGGGACTTGGTCAAAATTTTTGTGATGAAACATGTTCTTTGACTTTTCCATTTTTTATTCACGGTTTCTGTGCTGGTTCATATTTATTTACTAAAGTGGTTAATGTTTTAAAGCAAATTCTATTGAAATATGAATGGCAAATTAACAAAAATGAATAGAGGGACTTAAATGAGGTAGGTTAGGGAAAGGTACTTTGAAAATGTATGTTTTATATCAATAGACTTTACGTACTATTAACCGACCTTTTCGATTATCCATCGGCTCCTTCCCCCCACATGTGGTTGGTTAATCGAGGTTTTACTGTGTGTGTGTGTGTGTGTGTGTGTGTGTGTGTGTGTGTGTGTGTGTGTGTGTGTGTGTGTGTGTGTGTGTGTGTGTGTTTTTTTTTTTTATATGGGAATTAGCCCACCCGGGCAAAGGTCAAATGACCCACAACGGAGCCTGGGGGGCGAAAAAAAAAAGAATGTAAAGAAATTGAAAATATAGAAAAAAGGTTATACTGTATTAATCTACACCACGAAGATGCTGGAAAACCAGCTTTTTAAAGTGAGACAGATTGTAAGAGCATGGAAACACAGAAGAAGGCAGAGCATTCCACAGTTTGGCTGTGTGAGGAAAGGAGGAGGTACTATAACGGGTTATTCTCGTGTGACCGACATCCACAGAGAAATGGTGGGCACCGCGGGCAAGACGTGTGTTATGAACCCACGGCCTTGCCGGCGGTACACAGGATGCCAAATCCACTGAACATTGCCCATTAAAGTACCTGTAAAAGAGAGAGAGTGAAGCAACATTGCAGCGAAGAGAAAGGGGAGAGAGATTGTTGACTAAAGGAGGAGAGTTGATAACACGAAATGCCTTTGATTCCACCCTATCTAATAGTTGGACAGAAGAAGAGCCACCCCAGATATGAGAGCAGTACTCCAAGTTAGGACGAAAGAATCCCTTATATACTTGGAGCAACTGCTCAGGAGTGAAATAGTTGCGGCATCTGTACAGCATTCCCAACTTTCGGGAGGCAGCTTTAGTTATACTAAGGTTGTGTGATTTCAAGGACATATTGGAGGAAATGGTGAGGCCTAACATATTTATTTCAGAACTTGGGAGGATGATAGCGTCCTGAAATGTAATTGGTGGGAGATCGTCTAATTTACAAAGTGTAATTGGTAAATATTGAGTTTTGTTACTATTGAACTTAACCAAGTTTGTATCTCCCCATTCAGAGATGCTGCACAGATCCGCGTTGATAGAAGTAATGATATCAGTTCTAGAAACAGATCTAGTTTGAGAGTTAGGAGGAAGGGAAAAAGGTGAAGAAGAGTGAAGCGAAGAATCAACAGCGTAAGAATGGATGGAATTAGTCGTAGTGTGAAGTAAATAATTGATAAAAAGAAGGAAGAGAGTAGGTGAAAGAACAGAACCCTGTGGGACACCACTATTGGTAGAGAAAGAGCAAGAGCTCAATCCCTCGACAACGACTGCCATGGATCGATTCTCAAGGAAGCTAGAGATGAGAGAACAAAGTGGGGGAGAGAAACCAAAAGAGGGAAGTTTACATAGCAAAGACTTGTACCATACCCTGTCAAATGCTTTGGAGATGTCGAGGGCCACAACAAAAGTTTCCCCATAATCCCTAAGAAAGGATGACCAAAGATGGGTGCAATAGGAGAGCAGATCACCAGCAGATCTCGCCTGGCGAAAGCCATACTGGTGATCCGACAAAAGAGAAAGGCGTTCAAGGTGACGGAGAAAATGGGAGTTCAAGATAGTTTCGAAAATCTTAGAGAGGGATGAAGTTAGGGCAATGGGGCGATAGTTAGAGGGATTAGAATGGTCACCCTTCTTCGGGATGGGCTGAACCAAGGCATGCTTCCAAGAAGAGCGAAAATATTTGGTTTTGAGGCAAAGACGAAAGAGGTGAGCAAGCACAGGGGCCAGGGCTTCAGCACACTCCCTCAGAACACGAGGGGGTATTCCGTCTGGTCCATGCGCCTTACTCACATCCAACCTGGATAACACACCGGCAACCCTGCGAGTGGAGATTATAGGAAAGTGCATAGGTTCAGTAGGAGGTGCAGGGGTAGGAGGGATAGAGTGGGAATCGTCTAAGGTGGAATTAGAGGAGAATATGGCGCCAAAGAGGTTGGCTTTGTCAGGGGGAGAGTTGGCTATAGAGTTATTGGGACGGAAGAGGGGAGGAAAAGAAGGCGTGCAGAAGTTGTTACAGATGTTTTTAGTTAAGGACCAGAAGGATTTACTAGAGGAAGAATAGCCTTACAACGATTCCTAGAAGTAATGAAAGAGGTGTGGGTAATAGGAGGAGATAGTTTCATAGTTCGATATGCCCTATCTCTCACCCTGCAAGCAAGAGAGCAGGAGCGATCAAATCATGATTG